TATTATTACATCTGTTGTTTGCATTGTTTCTTCAGAATGCAACTTGATTGAAGGAGAAGATCATGTGGAAGTGAATGGGGAAATTTTCCAAAAGCCTTTTGTAGAAAAGCCAGTTAGTGCTGAGGACCACAATGTTTACATTTATTACCCAGCATCTGCTGGGGGTGGAAGCCAGAGACTTTTTCGAAAGGTGAGGATAGCACGCTAAGACTATGGAGATTCCATCATGTTAAGTGACTATATTCTTGGATATGTTTTAATGACTATAAAAAAGGTGAAATTAATTGATGTTGAATTTGAAAGCTAGTCTAGCTTCCCTCCCCTGCCCCTCCTTTTTTTTTTTTTTTTTTTTTTTTTAGGGTTGTAGATGACCAGCAGAATTGCTGAGTATGACCTGCCATTGTAGGGGTAGCAGCAGATCAGATAAACGTTCTTCAAGGAAACCTATAGAATGACTGAAGACCCCTGTTCTGTTCAGTAGACGTTCAGCAGCTGCTAATACTTACAATAGAAGAAGAATACGTTATCATTGCATTTGAGTTTGATCAAAACCTACTTGCTATGTTTCGTACAGGAAATGTTTTCCCAGTATAGATATGTTATTTTAAGGAGTTTTTCAATTTCTCAGTAGCTTTCAAGTTTATTAATAGAAAAATATTTGTTTCAGATTGGCAGCAGAAGCAGTGTTTATTCCCCTGAAAGCAGCGTGAGAAAAACAGGCTCCTATATTTATGAGGAATTTATGCCTACGGATGGCACAGATGTGAAGGTATGATAACTGCATATTCTGACTTATATTTAAAGCACTCAAGTACTCCATGAATTTCTCAGTTTTAAAGATAAAAGTAAATCATTGTGTTGAGGATTAATTTTAGTTAAGTTTTGATAGAGTTCATAAGAGAAGAATGACAGTTTTATCTAGCTAAACATAGTACTTATAATATACAGAAGTTGGGTTACGTCACTGGAATCTGGTGCAGGAGGCTTATGTAATGTAGAAGCACCAGCACTTCTGCAAAAGGATTACTCATCCCACAAAGACAGCATTCGGAGACAAATTAACATTCATCAGTTTAATAGAGAGGTACTCACGTTAGTGGAAGTGGCTCTCAGGTACAGTGTCTGCCCTGGGGTTTCCCCAGCAGATACTGATGGCGACGGACCTGCAGAATGCCCACACTACCTCTTAGCACCATGGCTTATTAACTGCAGGCAGTTTCCCAGGCTAACACAATTCCTTTCTTGTGAGTTGGTCTCCTATTCAGGCCATGATCTCTATTTTTCCATACAGCTTATAACCTGACACTTTTTTTTTATAGTATTAGTATCGTATACACTTTTCTGTGTGAACAGACAGATACTGTCCAGATGTTTTGTTTAAATGTTAAAAAAAAAAAAATCTGTAGCTGAGATACATTTTACCAAATAAGGTATTCTTCTAATTAATAATCAAAAGTTATTAAATAAAATGATATGAAGTTGGAAAAGTAGCGAGTTGTGCTTATTTGTAATTATTTTTACTCTTTTGTTTGTTTTCTAAATAGATATAAAGATTAAGCATCATAAAAGAGTGAAAAGCAGTAACAGCACAGGTTCCATCTATTGGGATTGCCTGCTTTGTGTTTGTTCAGTGCTGGGCTTAAAACAGCCAGAACTAGTATAATGAGTGTTTTACCATGTACATGAGAGATCACCATATTTAGGCAAAAAGTAGAAGTTAGAGTGTATGATCTAATCCAGTCTTATGCCAAATAAGCCCTTGAGAAACTGCAGTCAACTTCTTCCACCTGGAGATACATGAGGGTGATGCTAATTTTTTGTTCGCAGGCAAATCCCCCCCTTGCTAAAGATGTTCTGCTTAGTCTTCATATGATTTTAGTGTGGAACACTTTAATCTGAGTCTATGTAAGAGCTTTACAATATGTTTCCAAGGAGAAAAGTGTATAGGAACTTGAAGAGATGCATATGACTTGAGGGTGCAGCCTGTTTTGACAGCTGTTAAATGGTAGACATCAAACAGCATCTGCAGACTTGAACACCGTGTGTAAATAGTGGATTTATTTTTTTTAGTAACGAGACTGTCAGCTTTATGCTGCAGTTTTATCCAGCTCATTTTCGGCATCTGTTTTCTGTCTTCTAATCTCAGCTTGCTAGCAGCCTAAGTATTGCAATTGTCATTCAAACAGGAGATTCTCATTGAGGTCTTCAAGGATATTGATAATATTCCATGCCTTAAAGTCATTGTCAAGTACACATTTGTTACGATCTCTTTTTCAAATGATGTCCTGCAGGACTTTGCATCTAGGATTTGTCTAAGGAAGCGTAGCTGCCTACTACTGCTCCCTTAAATTGAACACAAAAGGAAAACCCGCTAGAGACTAGCCATATTTAATATACATACTCTCAGTATCACTTTATAATCTCACATCGTTGAAGGCATTATATGGATAGAAGGAATGTTATCAGCTTAGAATTCCAAACATCACGCAGAAAGATATAGTCACAGCTAGTGCAGTTTCTTCATCTAAACCAGGCCATTATTCTACTTTATAAGAACTAAGAAGTTATCAAGAGTGTGGCAGTTCTCATGACAGCACTCTTCAGTTTTGTTTGAAAGTGGTTATAATGTTTGATAGCAGTCATCTGTTTTACCTGAGTACTTTTTTTTGGTCAAAGATTAACAGTCTTATTTTCAAGTACAGTAACAGTATCCTATTTACCGAGGGCTGTTGAGTGTCTTAATGCACAGGCCCAGTTACTTGATTGAAGTGAGTATTAAAATTGTAGCACAGGAGGTAGTACAATCATTCTCTCAGGCTGCTGTCTTGTAATGCCAAAACTGGGCAGATTGTCGCTTCGTTCAGTCTTACTTAAAATATGAAAGTATTTTTTTAATTAATCATTTAGTCCTGCCACCAGGACTGCTGATTCTATAATCAGTGGAGCTCAAATTACTCTTGAGTTAATCTGCTTTCCAAGTACTGCAGATGATTGGAAGAAAAAAAACATTCTTTACCTTTATGTTGCCATAATTAAGGAATTGATTTTTGTTCATTAAGTTTTATGTTTTATTTTCTTTACATGTGCTTCAGCTTCATCCTCAATGGCCTCTAAATAATGGGTGCTCTCTGAATGCCATACCCTTGAGAAGGGTACTTCAGAGCACAATTATCGATGATAACAACTGCTAGTATCTTCACAGGATCATAGAATGTAAGGTTGCATAGGGCCTCTGAAGGTCATCTGGTCCAAACCCCATGTGTAAAAAGGGACATCTAGAAGAGACTGTGCTGTGCGATTGCAGTGATTATCACACCTGAGATAAATTCAGAAGGATGTATGGATAAGTATGATGTAACTTAATTACACTGAATCAGGAGTTGTTCTTTTTCAATAAAGGTGTACACAGTAGGTCCTGACTATGCTCATGCTGAAGCCCGGAAGTCCCCAGCTCTTGATGGTAAGGTAGAGCGGGATAGCGAAGGAAAAGAAGTGAGGTATCCAGTCATCCTGAATGCAAGAGAGAAGTTAATTGCTTGGAAAGTATGCCTTGCCTTTAAGGTAAGCTGATTACTTTCCTATCTGATCAAACGTTTAATGCTAATTAATTGTTTACTACCTGAAACTTCTGTAGTGTTTAAATGTCCAAAGCTAGCAGTGATATTGTATGCTCCGTGCCCCTGATAGGGCATATTTTAGACTTTGAGCAGAAGATGAAAAGTTGAACTTCCACACTGATGTTCTTTTAATGCAAAAAAAAAATCTTTAAATGCAGCGAGAAGTTCTGGATGTGTTGCTTAGTTGCATGAGTTTCCTGTATGTTTCCTTACATGTTACTCTTGTGCTTTGCTAGTCCACAGTGTGTCTGTTCTATGCATAACCATATTAGTGGTTTCTAATTAGGGAAATGCATCTTCAGTAGTCAAGTTTTTGCTGCTCTTGTTACCTGGTGTCTGCGTTGGACTAGCTTTTCTTTATTCAAAGTGTTTGGTAGAGTCCATTTTTGTATAGTTCTATGTTTCTTGTATTAAAACTTCATTTGGTCTTTTCTGTCCTTTTCAGACTTCTTATTGAAAAGCTGTCTTTTAGTCCATTTCATAAAGGGTTGCAACCATGATAGTACACTAGAGATTGTGGACAACTGTTACCTAGCAAAAGGGACTTTGAAATTGCATTTAATATCTTTTACTAACAGTATCAATGCTAAGTCTTTAGCAAGACTATCCTATCAAATTTAAATTTGGGCAAAAATGTCTTTATTAATGTTCTATCATTTCTTGCCTACCGCTCTTAAAGACAATGTGTAAGGGGAAACTCTACTGTCCAAATGGGAACTTGTAAGTTTATAATTGCCTAAGCTATATATTTTGAAGGCTGAGCTTGTGTGTGTGTGAATTTGATGCAAAATACTGATTCTGCTGGGGTCATGTAGGAAGGTTTAATTCAAGTTGGGGGTACAAAGTTAATAGGTAAGAAGATGTTTACATGTTGAGCGAGCCTGACATGGAATTGAAAAGAAGTTTTAAGTGTAAAGTAAGAAAATTTAAGGGAAGTGATCAATGACTTGAACTTTTATTCTTAAAAACAGCAAACAGTTTGTGGCTTTGATTTGCTGCGTGCTAATGGACAGTCATATGTCTGTGATGTGAACGGCTTCAGTTTTGTGAAAAACTCCATGAAATACTATGATGATTGTGCTAAGATACTGGGGTAAGAGTTTATTGATTTACTTCAGGAGTTTTGACTCTTCAGTGTGTAACTATAGATTATTTACTAGTTACTCCTTATTCCTAAGTAATTATTTAAAATTAATTATTTAATAAAATAAGTAAGATTTCGGATAAGTACTGAAGAACTAAGAACTGTAAATAAATCATAAATCATCTAAAACATCTGAGTGTTCTGCGGGTGCTGAAAGCTAACTAAGTACCATGACAGGATTAGTTTTTTAAAGGTAGTTGAGATTTTTTTCAAGTAGAGAAGTACCACTGCATAATTGTGCATGCTGCTATTTAGTACGTGCCCAAATTGATTTGTTTTGTCCTTGATCTGAAGCTGGTGTGTATGTATGTATTTCATACCCTTATATCCAAGTGGATGTAGTATTTATCATACTATGTTTCCTTTGTTGTACTGAAAGCAGGAGGAGGCAGAACAGTAGATCAAGCAGAATTGTACTGAACTTTATAACAATGAAATGCAATCCTCAAATAGGACTGATCCTACTTTGGCCAGCTAAATTGCTATCACAGGGAGATTGCACTGATAAGATAGAGAATGACCTTTCTCGTTATCAAATGGTCTGACATCATACCTAAATTGAGGAAGAGATAAGGTAAAATCACAGTTAATGATTGTAGTCCTCTTGTTTTAGGCCATTTTTTGAGTTAAGAGTTAGAATTGTGAGTTCTCAATTATTTAAGCTGCTGTAGATGTTGAATTCTCTTAAAAAAAAAAGTTTTCCTACCATTTTTTCCTCATGTTTACATATAGTATAGTACAGTACATGTAATACAAAAAAGTAGATTTTATTTTTCTACCTTTTTATAAAGGAAATCTTGAGTAGTTCTAATTCAAGATGTACATTTTTTCTTGATGCTACTGCTTTTTAATGTAGATATGAATTTGAATTCAATATATTTTGATAAAATACTCGGAAATAGAACATTAGCAATATATAATAAACTCCTGTATGCGAAAGCAGAGTTATCATTATTTAGTTAGGTTATTCACATTTTTTCCAGTTTTACCAACAAACTTTTTGAGAATTGATATTATCACTAAGGCTACCAGTTACTCTTTGATTAGCACGGCTTGCTGATTTTCAGGGATTTTCAGTTTGATAATGGAGTCAGATATCTGAATATTTAAATAAACTAGACCAACCTGTTTCCATGGAACAATTTTAGGAACTGAAATTCAGAGACTGAAGTTTCTTAAATATCCTGTGCTGTTAGGCTAGTATTAGCTCTGTTGCAATTTCAGTAGCTTTACATTATTCTGTAATTACATTTTTGTGTGTACAGTTAGAAAAAAAGCACTTATTTTTCCTTTTAGGAGAGACATACTGTGATAAGTACTCTAAAACTACATAGATAAAAATGCAAATGTATAAATATGTTTGTTATGGAGTGCATGTGTGTTTTGTAAGATCTTCTCTAAACTTTTTTTTTTTTTTCTTTTTAATTTTTCTGTAGAAATATCATAATGAGAGAACTTGCTCCCCAGTTTCAGATACCATGGTCAATTCCATTGGAAGCTGAAGACATCCCTATCGTGCCAACCACCTCTGGGACAATGTAAGAGAATAGTAGCAACACCTGAATTGTGGAAAATCCTAACATAACTCTTGTGTGCATTGTTTTTTCTCTTCACAAGGTGTACCCATTTTGATGAAAACAAGGAAGGAATCACAATTGCTATGCCAGCAATCAGAATTTCTGATCCTTAGTCAAGCTGAGTATAGAACAGCAGATTTTCAAGTGTAGCATCCTTCTGTGCATAGCTTCCTTCACTGCTAATCATTTTTCCAGCACCAGCTTAATATGCACTTCTAATAAACATGCTCTCTCATTTAATGAACTTCAAAATCATTTTAAAATATTACACAAGTAGTTACTCAAGTCTTAAAATCAATATGTGTATTTTATACTTCACATCACTTTCAGTTAACCTTATTTTCTTGCATATCCTTCTTTCACTTTTGTAGTTATGTCAGATAGTGACAACTTTGTCAATAGTTCTGATTCTTAGTGGTTTTAATAATAAATAAAATTTCATTTATAAAATTGTGAAACATTTCAGGATGGAGCTTAGATGTGTTATAGCTGTAATACGTCATGGAGACCGAACACCAAAACAAAAAATGAAAATGGAAGTAAAACATCAAAAGTAAGTTGAACTTCGATAAAAGCGCGTTTCTTGGGGATATGCAAGCAATGAATTAAGCAGAAAGTCCATCGTATAAGATACTCTTTGTTCTATTTTTTCTGTAGCTGTTGTCTTTCCACCTAATAAACAAGCATGAACCTCTTTCTAAGAGGACTGTCAGATTAGGTTTTCAGACTTCCTTCATTGCATTGCTTTGTAAACAGTCTTGTTTGAATTTAATGTTAATGAAAATATATTTGTTTCCATACATTTATTTGTGAGTAATCAATAGAGAATATTTCTGGTTCACCGTTTGACTTTGACTTCTGACTTTGTTTTTATTGTTTGTTTTTTGTGTGACTTGCTTTCTTACTGCAGTGCTTTTTTGTCTCTTAATTTTGTCAGTTTGATTACTGTGTATTTCTGGTAGATACCAGATACAAAGTGTCTGGAATTAGTTGCAATGTCTTTATCTCGTATATTCACATACATCTGCTTTAAATATACCTATGAGTGTGTGTGTGTGTTTATCTTAATTCTGTTGAGGATTGTTCTTGAATGTTAAGGTGAATCACTGCTGTATATTCTTTCCTTTTTGTATTTAACACTTAGCAACTCAGTAAGAGAATGTTTTTTTTGTACAACAAAAATTTCTCTTTCTCAAATTTCTCTGAAGTATTGAGGACTTTCTTGAGAAATGAGGTTTGAATAAAAGATCACTTGAGCTGTTCAAATTTGAATATGCTTTTCAAATAATGCAAAGCTACTAATCTCAGGCCATTTAAGGTTTTAAAAGCTATGTGTTTGACAAATATTTTAGGTTACTAAATGCTTATGTATATTCTTTCTCCTAAAGATTTTTTGATCTCTTTGAAAAATGTGATGGATATAAATCTGGAAAACTAAAACTGAAAAAACCAAAACAGCTGCAGGCAAGTTTGTCTCTATTTTCTTGCTCTAGTGTTTTATGACAAATAGAAAATAATCTGTCTTAAATTAGTCCTTTGTTTGCTTTCTTTAGGAAGTGCTTGATATAGCAAGGCAACTCCTTGTGGAACTTGGGCAGAACAATGATTCTGAAATTGAGGAAAGTAAAGCAAAACTTGAACAGTTAAAGACTGTGTTAGAAATGTAAGTGTCTATTTGCAGTCTTCATAGCAACAAAGACATATCTGTTATTTTGACCTGTTTGACCAGTTACAACTCAGCGGCAATGATTATCAACTATGTAATGTTCATTAGTAATTGAAACAGATGGGTCTTCAAAGAACAAGAAAGGATGTCCTGTTTGACTTTTTGAAGGAGGCTGAGCCCTCTCTGTGTTTTCTCATTATCTTTTTAATGGAACTTACTGTTTAATCCATCACACATCTCAGTGTGCTTTCTACTTGAAAGAGGTTATGTTTTTTGTTTTGGTTTGTTTTTTTGCATGCTTGAGTACTTGAGTGTAGGGTTTGCCTCTTAGCTGTGTGTGGCGTAATGAAGTTTCTTGGAGCCTGTAGGCTCTAAGACTTTCATTGTCTTCAACAAAGTGTACAAACTGAGGATTCCAAAAAATAAAGCTTTGCATATGAAGCCTGAAGTATTTAATAGAAGGAAATAAAGGCTTCAAGTTTTGTTAATATTCTGGGGTCTCAAGACACGGTGGAAGATAACTTTAATTTTTAGAAATTGGGACAAATAGAATTAATTATTCTTGTAATTTATGAAGATTACTTAAAATACTGAGTTTTACTTGAGAACTTTTCTGGCTGGTGAGTGGCCATACACACTGCCAGATCAGATTCTGTGTACTGATGGCTAACACAGTTGTAAATTGCTCATGCAGTCTGCAAATGCATAGGCAGTTTTATTTTCACTTCTATGCTTGGTATGCTGAAAATAAGTAGTTTATGATAACATTTGGAAATGTTTCATCATGTAAGGTTTATTAGGTATGTAGTTTCATATGCTTCATGAATAAGGCTTAATTTAAGATTGCACTGCGAAATGGTGGTCAAATGCTCAAATGAATGGCCAATGTAGTTTTATTACTGTTTCAAGAGCACAGCAGCTTTGAGTTTGTACAGGAGAATATTTTTTTTTTCTCTTTTCCTTTCTCATTTCACCCTGTTTCTTCTTCAGGTATGGGCATTTTTCAGGCATAAACCGCAAAGTTCAATTAACGTATCTTCCTCATGGCTGCCCAAAGACTTCCAGTGAAGAGGAAGGTGTAGTATTACTTTAGTGTATATTCACTTAAGAGCATATGCATTTACATATACTAGTGGTATAATGTCTTGATATTAAGAAGAAGCAGTATGTTGATTTGAATGAATGCTTGTGCTGATGGCAAATACTCAGCAGTCTCTAACCCTACTGAATCATACACCTAAAATTATGTAGTAAATTTACATTACAACACTGTTTTTTTGTAACGGAAAACGGGGAAGGAGCTTCAGTTATTCACCACAGATGGTGTACTGGGAGAAAGATGAGAAAATCCTACTTATTATTTACTGCTGTCTTTAAAATTTTTTGAGCTCTTTCTGATCGTTGTTCCACAGTCATTAACTGAAATAAGCAAGCTGGGGTATTTAAAATCTTTTCTAATTTTTTGACTCAGTATTTGTTTTAGGTTTCTTACTCAGTATTTTTCACTTATTTTTTCTATGTAATGCAATTATTTCAGGTTTCTCTGTTAAGTGCCATTTTAGTTCTGTGGTTGAGTATCTTCTTAGTGTTAGAAAGCTAGTAAGGATTCCTATTGTTAAAGAGGCTCTTTACTAGCCTTCATAGTTCCAGTATTTTTGTTTATGTGCAAAAAAAAATTTACAATATACTTCTCTACTAAACTCCTCTCTCTGTGTTTAATTAGATAACAGAAGAAATGAACCATCCCTCCTACTGGTTCTAAAATGGGGAGGAGAACTGACCCCTGCAGGCAGGGTTCAAGCAGAGGAGCTTGGAAGGGCATTCAGGTGTATGTATCCAGGTGGACAAGGTAAAAAAATAAAAACAAAAAAATAAAAAATGTGCTGAATGGCATAAATCCCTTTTGAAGATAATAAAGTGCAAAATGAGAATCTGAGCAAAATGTCTGTTTGTTAGGAGATTATGCTGGATTTCCTGGCTGTGGTTTACTTAGATTACATAGCACTTACCGACACGATCTCAAAATCTATGCTTCTGATGAGGGAAGAGTTCAGATGACTGCAGCAGCTTTTGCAAAGGTACTGTGTCAATCATAAAAGGTACTGTGTCAATTATAAAATTCTGAAATTTTCTAGCTTATTACTTCTAAAAATGTATGGAGATTTATTGTTTATTATAAACACAGAGGCTGTGTGTTTGGTTTTTTTTTGTTTTTTTAAAAAAGTATTCTGAAAGATTATTTAGTAATATGCAGGAAAGTTTCCAGTTAATGTGCCATGCTTTGAAGTTCTTTGAGCCATTGCAGTCGGGTTTTCATTGCACAGTCATAGTAGTATGCCATAGTTCTTTTGCAGTAAACAAAACACAAAACAGAGAAACATTTTTTGTTTGCATCTTTCTTATTTCTTTAGGGCTTACTTTCTGAAATGTTCAGGAAATGTTGTCAGATTTCTATGACAAATTGTATGTGTGATGGGTAAGAACTAAGACATTATAACTGAGTTAATACATTAATTTTCCCTGAGCAAAAAATTTTCAGTTGATTCAGTGCACTGAACCAGAAGATCTGGGGTCCTGAAAACAGTTTTTTCATAGAAACCATCTTTCTCTTATTGACTAATAACCCTACAGAGAAAGCTTTTGAAGCTATCAGAAATATGGAATTAATAAACTACTTTGAAAATATTTAAATGAGAAATTGTAGAAACTAAAGATTAATTTGATTTGGGTTTTGTTATTGTTGTTTTTGTATGTGTGTGTTTGTTTCTACCAGTTGAAATAATTTATGTAAAAGGATACTTTTTAATTTTTAAGCTCAGAATTTCCTACCTCTCCAGAGTTTGTAAAAGTGTTCTTTTACCCCTCTTCATACTAGGCAAATTCCTCTTTTGCTCCTCTTCCCAAGTAGCCTTTTTCATGTATAATACTTCCATTATTAATAATTTTGCTTCCTTCTTGCAGTGATACAAATCTTGAATCATTCGAGAGAACTCAGAGAAAGTGCTACTGTGAATGATTTTCATAAATACAGAGTGATAAGAGTGAGTTAGGTGAGAGGGAGCCTCTGTAGGTCATGTAGTTCAGCTTCAGACAGCACAAGGCTAGCCTGAATGAGGTAGCCTTCAACTGTATCCAGTCAAGTTCTGAGCATCTACAGGAATGAAGATTCCACAGCCTCTCAAGTTTTTAATTCCATCCTTCATTCTCAGGTAGTTTCTCTATTTCTTCTAGGTAGCCCGTCCCTGCCTGTATTCCTTTTTAATCCATGCTGACTTTCTACATGACTTTCCATATCTCAGGTTGGACTGCTTTTGTATTTTGAGGATTTTAAGGGACAGCTTTTCTGTGCACCTTTGCCCTCTGGGACACTCTTCCCCAGGATTTGCATGAAAAGCTTAAATATCATCATTTGCAGAGGCTCTGATACAATTATTTGTCGTCTTCTCTAAGAATTTGTCACAATATCATGGTTTCTATTGCCAAGGCTGCCACTGTCCTTCACTTTCCTGACTTTCTGAGAAACAGCTCCAGGAAAATGTCTCAGCTAGATAGATAATCAGTATCCTTTGCCATGGAATTGTCCTGGATGTTCTTCAGAAATCTGGGATTCTTGTCACATGCAATATTGCTCATGCATTAGGTATCCAGAATTAAGTATTAAAAATGGTATGAAATCAGGAGACAATTCTTAGCTTTAGTTGGGTGGTCTGTAGCAGAGGCCTGCCTTGATGTTACCGTTTATCTGTTCTTTCTGAACTGACTTGTAACTGGTTTGAAAGCAAAATTCTCGGTGGTCAAGTCACTTCTTTATACAGAATCCAGCTTTCCTCCATGCCTTCCTGTAATTGTAGCAAAGCTCCCCTCATGTGAACTATTCCGCCTGTCTCTGTGATCTTTGTAAAATTAAACCTTTGCAGTGTTCAGAATTTCTGTTCCCCTTTTTGTTTCCATGCTGTATGTGCTAGTGCACAGGTATTTCATGTGGACAGCTATCTGTCCTGCTTTCTCCTCAATCAGCGGACTTGAGGGGAACACCAGTCCATTTCTGTACTTACCTCAGTACTCTTCTGTTGCCAGAAGAGTCACGAAAATTTCTTTATTTTGGAAGTCTCCATCCACCTTTTGTTCAACTATAGAATTTCATTGTCCTTCTATGCCACACAGGGTTTGGGCTCTGCAGAATCTCTGCAAAGGCTTTGTGTGTGTCCTCTCTGTCTTCCCAGATCATACTCAGTCTCTTTCTATAGCTCCTTCATCTGGTTCTTTGGACCAGGGCATGTTGCCCACAAGTTGGGTTGCTGTTGCACCGTGCACTCCCTTTTAACTGAGACCTGGACAGCCATGGCCTCCCAGAAGCACTCTTGGATCTCACACTGGAGCTCACACTGGGGATCACACTCTAAGGGCACATCACCATCACTGTTGCACCAACTGAAGCAATCCTACACACCAAGGCAGTGCTTTCATAGAATCTTGAACGGAATCACAGAACGTCTTGAGTTGAAAGGGATCTTAAAGCTCATCAGGCTCCAACCTTTCTGCCAAAGCAGGGTTGCCAACTGCTAGATCAAGCAGTAGATCAGATTGCCCAGGGCCCCATCCAACCTGGGCTTAAACACCTTCAGGGACAAGGCATCCACAGCTTCTCTGGGCAACCTGTTCCAGCATTTCACCACACTCTCAATAAAGAACTTCCCCTGACATCTAATCTAAATCTCCCTTCTTTAGTTTAAAACCATTCCCCCTTGTCCTAACAAACCATTCGCCCTTGTCCTAATGGCTAAGTCCCTGTATATCTAAGCTATAGACAACTAATACAATTTTGAGTTTAAATTAGTATTTTGAGTGTTTTTTATTTTTAAGGTACTGTTATTATCGCATGTTTGTTTGATTAATTACATTATCTGCTTCAGGGACTACTGGCCTTAGAGGGCGAGCTGACTCCTATTCTTGTCCAGATGGTAAAAAGTGCTAATATGAATGGTCTATTGGACAGTGACAGTGATTCTTTAAGCAGCTGTCAGCATCGTGTTAAAGCAAGGCTCCATGAAATTCTCCAGAGAGACAGAGAATTTACTGCTGATGACTACGATAAGGTTAGAACATAAGTAGTTTTCAGTTAAATGAAATAAATAAAGAAGTAAATACATTAAAATAATGAGCAGTTGTTTTATGTATGTCCTTTGAAAAACCATGTATGTGTTTGCAAATAGTTTGGTCTAAGAAGGAAGCTGTAGCTATTGTGGTATTAGGTATTCTGAGCTATTGAAGTTTGACTAATCAGAATGGTTATGGTTACAAACTTCAAAGTAGGAATATAATCGGTGGTAGGGACCATATTAGTAAATCTTTTTCACTGGCTTTTTTTGAATTATTCAAGATACAAAACTGTGTTTTTAGACTTTTTTTTTAGTCTTCACTTTGACCTTTTTAATAAGTTTGTGATACTGTATCCTACAAGGTGCTGCTATCCTACAAGGCTTTTTTTCTGACTATAAAAGCAAAAAAAAGGTAGAAAATCAATAGAATAATTCCTTACCAGTGAAAGGAAATGTCTCATTATCATAATAACCTAATGCATAATGAAGTAGTTAATGTTGACATGGTATGATCTGCATGATTATTTCTGGTTTAAATGAAGGTCCCTCAAATGTGGTCTCTGTGAGTTTTAGCTGATATTTTCTAAAATGTGTTGAGAGCAAATTATTGAAAAATAATTGTACTAGCTGTATGTATGCTCTTCGTGGACTTATTTAAGTGTGTAGATTAAAAGAATCAGTCAAATCATTGCCAGCAGTGGATTTTGCAGTACATGGAAAAAGTGAGAGGGTACAGGGTTTCAAATATTTGTTTTATTTTCCCATTTTTTGCTCTGTATAGATATAGTGGGATGTAAAAGAAGACTGAAACTATAGTGTGTTCTCCTTTAAGATAGTGACTAATGCTTGAGATTATAAAGCGATAATATCTTTTCTGTATTTTTCTTATTTTCTTTCTTTTTAACTTACCTGCAATCAGGTAAGTTAACAATTTGCTTTTGCTATTTTGTTATATTTTGCTCTCTCCATGCCGGGGTATTATTCCTATGGATATAATAGGGATGTAGGAACTGCTGTGAAGAAGATTTTGAGATACCTTTGTGCTTAAAAGGGTTTATTTTTTTCTGTTTGTGGGGGTATGTCCTATCCAAACAGAAAACTAAGCCAGGAGGAATCAGCTTTTTTTCCAGGTGTTTTATTCTTCCTTCTACTCAGGCTAATAAAGGTACTGCATAGAACAATGTGGCTTTTATTGAGATACATAGGTTAACTGTACTTTCTTATAAATCTTATTAGTTGAACAAATTTACAGAAAGTTGATAAGTATATACAGAATCAGAAGAATCCTTAGAATTTTCTTATAATTTTGTACATCTTAGAACAAAGTGGAGTTTTAGGAACTCTTGAAGCTGCTCTTGTTTACTGTATGAGAGTACTCATAATTTCTTGACATCTTTGAATCTCTAGTAGAACTTAGAACTTTTCAATATATTTTTGATTCTTAGTTTCTCTAAGGGAGTAGGTGATTGAAAAATGGTTTCAAAAATTAACAACCTGCATCAGTGTCTTTCACCTGATACTTAGAATCTTTAGTACTTTCCATCTTATTTCCAGAGTTTGTTTTTTTTTTAATCTAATCAGTGTGTGTTTATCTCAAATTGCAGCTTACACCATCTGGAAGCATCTCATTGATAAAATCAATGCAGGTTATTAAAAATCCTGTTAAGACATGTGACAAAGTCTACTCCTTGATCCAGAGCTTGACTTCTCAGATTAGGCAAAAAATGGAAGAACCAAAGTCTGCAGGTATTTGAACAGTTTTTTGTAGCTGTATGTAGTTTCTCTTGTTTGCATTTGAGAGAAAACTGCAATATAACCCTTCTGCAGTACAGTGGCTTTTAGCAGAACTTTTCAGCTATGGCATATGGATTTTTACAATCTGCTTCAATATGCATAATTTTACAGTAAAAAGCAGGAGGAACACTTGGTCATATTGCAGGTAAGAACTCTTTGTGGTATTCAGAAGTTCAGGCTAGTTGTCACATTTTTACAGAAATTCTTTACATAGAAATTTGTAACTCAGCAGTCCACAGAAGAAATAGGCAAAGCAGATGGTAAGAAAGCTAAGTTTTACAGGTATGCTTTTACGTTTAAATATCTTTGCTTAAGATTTGTTACTCTCTGCAGATAATGCACAGAATTACTGCATAGAATTATGCTCAGTTTTAATGGTATTGAACCAGTGAAAAAGGAAAACTGAAGCTGGGAGCAGCCACATTGCATTTTCTGCTTTAAGCTAAAATTTGAATATTTGTTATCTGGTATTCTTTGCAGCGCATTGCATACAAACAACTACTCTTCTGAGGTTGAACCCTGAAATTATATCACCTGTAGACAGTATCATTCGTTTGTGTCTGTTTGATCCAGTCTTCTGTCCTGCAAATGAGGATAGTCCATTCTTTCTGCCAGACTTTTATTGTTGAAGAGAGCAATAAATTGGATTTGCGTTCTGCTCTGAAAAAGAGATGTTGTCTTCTTCCTCTTCCTCTCTCTTGGAATTTTCTAATAGTGTGGTTTTATTTTAATCTTTTTTTTTAATAATTATTATTTTAATTATCATATGTTCTGTAGGACACTTTATTCTTTGTGTTGTAGCTTTTATTAAAGGGCAAGTGGTACAGTACTACAGGGAACCATCTGCTGTCTTGATGTAACTAGATGATTTCAACAGTAAAATTAACCATATGCACATCTGTTCTCTCAGAAATAGTATAGTTATTTACTTTTACTCCTTTAAATATACAATTGTTTTCAACTATTATTATCATGTAATTAACCTTTTTTCTGTTATTTGGATACTCCTGATTACTTACTGTTTATCCAGATATTCAGCTGTACCACAGTGAAACACTAGAACTGATGCTGCGCAGGTGGGCCAAGCTGGAAAAAGACTTTAAAACAAAGAATGGAAGATACGATATTAGCAAAATTCCTGATATTTACGACTGTATAAAATACGATGTGCAGCACAATGGCTCCTTAAAATTAGAAAACACAATGGAATTATACAGACTTTCAAAAGCTTTAGCTGACATTGTGATTCCTCAGGTAAACATTTTCAGTTATGAAATAGAATACTTTATCATCTTTTAACAGACTGTAAGATGTAAGACTTTTCTATTAAAAGCCCCTATAACTTCACCTCTTATTTTCTGATCACAATAAGATTACTTTGTGTAAGAAAAATTTTGATTCATAATTCACTGAAATGTGGTAAGAGTGATTTCTTCCGGCAACTTAAGCTGTGAACATGTCTGCCTCCTCTTCTACAGTGTATTAAAGTGATGTGGTTCATCTCAAACATTCTTCATGGATGTAAGCAGAGCCCATGTGGACAACTACGTACTCTTAAATCACATTTAATTTAATTCTTGCTCTTTTCACAACTTTATTTTCTGCACAATTTTTATTTTCTGGGCTTTCTGCAACTGACATTGAATCCTATTCTATCTAATTTTAATTTACTTAAACATGTTACATTTAGAAAGACCTTTCTGCTACTTCAAAATACTATCACTCCCTGATAAAAACGTACACTTTAAATTTCACAGAATTTAAGGACAGATGTACTAGTTAAACTTCTCAGTACTGCAGTCTGTTAAATTCAGATTAGTGCTAAATGCTGTAGACTACAGGAAATGAAATTGTATTGTAGTGTAGGACAGAACATGCAAAAGCTGTCCAGAAGTGTCCTTGAAATTATATAGTGCTGTAACAGGGAGGTATTACTCATTTTCTGCAGCAAGTGAGGGAGCTTCTTTTCATGCCCATTTCTCAAACTGCCTGGCAGCAGGGAGGATGAAAAGAGCAATAATTCTAAGTGTACTGTGTGTATTATGTGGATCTGCTAAGCTTAATTTTGAATAGAGTATGAGGGAAGAGTAACTAAAAATAAAAGGAAGGAAGAAAATAAAAGAAAGCTTGTAAACATGCATAATTCGTATGGAAAAGCGCTTACACTGCTTTCTGGTGAAACCAGAAGATCCATGAAAATGATGCAAGCACTTTCATACCATTTGTGGCACAGACTGAGAAGCTTCTCAAATATGTTGTTTTTTACCATTGTAAAAACTGTAACAGATAATGTATGTTCCAGTTGTGTTTAACTGCCATTTTAGTGCTATTTGAGGTGAATAGGAGATCCTCTGTGGGGTATGTTAACTCAGACTAAAGTAGACATCAAATAAGTAATGTGCCTGTCTTCACTGACTGGGAAAAAAATAGCTAATTGAAATGAAACCCACCATACCTGTCTAAATCTATATGGGAGAAAGAACAATCTTTTTTTGATCATACCAGACAGGAAATCCACTTTTGTGGATGAAGAAGTGTTTCTCTGTTTTATCTCAAATAGGAAAAAGGAAAACCTCTTCTAACTTAAAAGTGGGTCAGATGTAATAAAGATATTAAACAGAATTGTTTAACTGTTTGCAGTCAGAACAATAGTAGGTAGCTAACTGAATAACTGCATTCTGAGGTGCATAAAAAAGAGTGTGGCTGACAGCTTGAGGGAGGTGATCCTCACCCTCTGATCTGCCTTAGTGAAGCCATATCTGAAGTACTGCATCTAGTTCTGGTCTCTTCAGTCCAAGAAAGAAGGGAACTTCTTTAAAAAAAAAAATAAAAATGTCCAGAGGAGGGCCACAAAGATGATTAAGGGTCTGGAGCATGTCCCTTCTGAGAAGAGGCTGAGAGGGCTGTTCAACTTGGAGAAGTCTGAGAAGGAATCTCTTTGCTGTTTATAAATAATTAAAGTGCAGATGTTGAGTGGATGGAGCTAGGCTCTTCTCAGTGGTGCCCAACAACAGGGCAAGGTGCAATGGACAAAATGTGGACACAGACTGATATTCCATCTGAAAATGAAGAAAAACCTCTTTATTGTGAGTGTGACAGAGCACTGGAACAGGCTGCCCATAGAGGTTGTGGAGTCTTCCTCTGGAGATAATCAAAACTCAGTGGCACTTTACTGTGCAAGGAAACCTGCTTTTAGCAGGAGGTTAGACTAGATGATCTCCAGAGATCCCATCCAACCCCATAATTCAGTGATTCTGTGATTTTATTTTACAAGCCTTGTCTTAGAATGTATGTTAATCTTGAACTGGATTTTAAGACTTTTTTTTCCCTAATATAGGAATATGGTATTTCTAAGGCTGAGAAACTAGAGATTGCCAAAGGTTATTGCACTCCTCTAGTTAGAAAAATCCGTTCTGACCTTCAGAGAACTCAAGATGATGATACTGTAAATAAGCTTCACCCTCTGTAAGTCTTCTAATATTTTATATGATTATGTTAATCCTTATAAGACTTACTCCATACCTTCTGTACTTGAAATATCTTACTGCTTCAGAGTAATTTAAAATATATGATTCATTAATTAGTTGATGGCTAATTCTGAGACAGCCACATGTCATTATGGTCTAATAAGTTTTTTTTTTTTCTTTAAGTTACTCCAGGGGTGTTATGTCCCCTGAACGCCATGTACGTACACGACTGTATTTCACCAGCGAAAGTCATGTTCATTCCCTGCTATCCACCCTTCGTTATGGTGCCTTATGTGATGTAAGTTGAACACTTTTTCTGTGAAAACTGTGATATTTTTCTGTGATATTTTAAGAAAAAAAAACAAAATAACTTTTACTAAAACTGTATTATGTGAAAGCTTAATTTTTCCAAGTGTCTTTGAAGATTATTACACTTTTTGAAACACTGGATTTCTTTGAAATATGGCCCTGCATATATGCTGACTCCTAATGTGATAATTTGTTGGAAAAAAGCATGCTCTTTTAAATTAGTGCTGGGTTGCACTGGCGTATTCAGTTATACAGCTGATACTGTGGTCTCAAAAGGATTTGCAGAGGACAGATAACTCATTTCTTTGTCTTCTGTTGTCACCTTTCCAACTCTTTTTCCTTCAAATTGCAGTTCAGATGTCTCTGAATTCATTTTTTGGATTGGCTTGTTTTTGTGATTGTCATATTTTCAAGACCTTTCTGCCTGCCACTGTTGCATAGTATTTTAAAGGATATGCTTTATTTTCCATCTGATTGGTTTGGAAACCAAAGTCTTTTAAAATAAATAAATAAATAAAATTTAAAAAGACCAACTTTCAGGTTCACCAGTTGCCCAGATAAGCTCATGGAGAGGACAAATGTAGCACCACAGGGCCTATACAACTGATTCTAAGTTTGATGTAAATTTAAATCTATTTTCTGTAGTGGCTGTATTGGCATACTTTCTTCTGGTAACAGATTAGTAAACTCATTGGTTAAACTCATAAACCCCTGTGGCGTGCCGTAGGGGATACACATGTACTTTTAAGCTTATAAACTTTTTAGTTTCCTTTAAAATAAATTACTAAGTGTAGCAGTTCTTCGTTATTCATGGACATGATTTTAGAACATGAAAAAGGTGAATATTCATATTAAATAATTCAGAATGAGATGATTATTTTTCTTTTGTATTTTGGAAGCCTTCTCTATCTGCTTAACTGCCAGAGAGATATACCTAGAAGTATTTCCTACAATATGCCCACACTATTTGAAGGGGATTTTATTGCAAAATCAAAAATTCCAACCAGAAAAATGTCAATGGTACTTCTGTTTACAAAGCATTCAACATTATTAACAAAATAGCCAGAAAGATACTCCGAGATAAATCTACTTTTTATTCATTTTATGCATATTTTTACTTCACTTTTTTCTAGATGTATCTCTAGTTTTTCATTAGCTGTAGTAAAGCTTCATACTTCTGCTGTTAATATAAAAACCATCTAAAGGGGTGAGAATGGAAATCATCAGTCTTTCTAAAGAAAATTGCTGGCTTTTATTTGTCAAGATTCTAACATTTTTTTCTGTTCATAAGGAGACAAAAGATGAACAGTGGAAACGAGCTATGGATTACTTAAATGTTGTCAATGAACTCAATTACATGACACAGATTGTTATCATGCTCTATGAGGATCCAAATAAGGTATTTGAAATGTATGAATGCCTTCAGAAATGAGTAGTGCTAAGCCTACATATTAAAGTGTAAACCTATTTATCATTTTCTCCAGGAACTTTCTTCGGAAGAACGTTTTCATGTAGAGCTGCACTTTAGTCCAGGAGCCAAAGGCTGTGAGGAAGATAAAAATTTGCCATCTGGATATGGATACAGACCTGCCTCCCGAGAGGTAATAATTAGGCCTATATTTCAAGCAAAAGTTAGTTTTTCTGAATGCAGAAAACCAATAGTGGAAATTTTTAGGTTAAAAATACAAGTGTGATTTTCTTTTTGGTCCACTTTGAATGAACACAGATAATTTAAGCCTTCTGCGGCTTTGCCAGTCTGAACTAGGAATACAAAGTACTCTTTATATGAAAGGTGGTAGCAATGCTAGTGTCAGATCAATGATATTCTGGCAACTGAAAGAAACATTCAAGAAAATACGGTAGTTTAGCATGCTTATAAATACAGATTATTGGGGAGTGCTTAATATTTTCGAGGTTGTATGTATAGGTGTGTGGAGTTACCACATGATTTCTGAGAACTGAATGAAAGCAAGGCGGGAATTCAAATATTGACTTGCAGGGCTAGAATTTTACCACTGTGGAAACAGAAAATTGAAGTGGGATATGTTGGCTGAATGGTTTGACTAATTAGAAACCCACTGTACAGGCAGTGGTTAGTTAGGAGCAAATACACATGGGTTATTAAAGTCTATAACAATATTTATTTTATAACTAGTTGTGCAGTAATTTGTGATTTATTTGCATCTTTAAAATCAGCTTGTGTTGTGTTTTTCTAGAAGGTTAATTTAGTAACCACTTCTGTCTACATGATACAAGGTGTGCAGCTAAATTGGAAAGAATTATGTATTGTTTATAGAATGAAGGCTCGAAGAAAACCTCACATAGAAATGATAGTGATGAGGAGGCACATACTTCTAAAAGGGATGAAACAGATCGGTCAGTAGTGATGTTCAAGCCAATGGTATCAGACCCAATTCATATACACAGAAAGTCACCCCTTCCGAGATCCAGGATGATTGGTTCTGTTGAAGTAAGTGTTTATGTTTTGGAGAATATCTTTCACAGAAGTTAACTTCTGTTTTTCTTAACAAAACGATAACAAGGGTAATTCTGTTTTCAGTTACACATAATGTTAAATATGGTGTTCCTCAATAGCAGTAATTTGCCTGAAGGATTTTGTTTTTATGAATGATTATTTTTCCATGAAAGACGTATGTCCTTTTTTTCTTTTCAAGCCATATTAGAAAAAAATCCATATTTGAAGATGTGTGTTTTGGTTGAAAAAGTCTTCATCTTCAAACTAACTTGTATTGTTTTTGTATTCATCCTTACAAGACATCTGGTACTGGGAATTGAGAAAACCTTCAGGGTGATCTTGCAGAGAGGGAACAGAGGGATTGGTGGGGGTTGGGGGGGGGAGGAAGGAGAGGAGAGAGAAAATGTCTTCGGCTGTATTTGTTTTCACGTGGAGTGGAAGTGACTCCACTTGTGCAGCATTTGCATTTGAAGGTAAGAGAATAAACTGTAAGTGGTTTTTTTGTTATTGTTGTTGTTTTTAATGGATGGGGTTTGCATTTCATGAATTCTTTAGATAACAGCTTGAACAGTGTAGTCTCCTGCCTTGAAGGCCATGACATCTAGGTGTGCTTCACGGATATGGCTTTAATGTCACAGAGGTGGGGAATGCATAGCATTGTCACTGACACCACTTGCGCGATTGAGTGGCAAAGCTTCAGTTGGTGCATAGTGGCACTTCTGCGACTTTAATGCTAGAAGCAGACTAACAGCTTCTTATTGCCTCATTTTTAGTTGCTTAAAGCCATCAGAACTTAAGATTCACACCAAAACCTTTTCCTTTCATGTTTGTGTTGGGAATGGACTGTTTGTATGCGCTGCAAGTATTACAGAAGTAAGATTTGCAAGTTATTAGTTGGTTATTAGTAGCGCAGAGAGAAAAAGGTGCATGGTTTCCTCCTGTAAGGATATCTGTATAACTTCATGTGACTTTCATAAATTAACAAAGATAATAAATGTGAATGTCTTACATTTCCTATTTCCGAGTTTTATCATAAACAAATGCTCACAACATCAGTATTTTAGATTTTTAAATGCTGTTTTCAGTGTGATCATGCAAGCTCCCCTCCTAGTTATGAGTTCATATACACAAAATTTTTTAGATTAAAGGTTAACCTTTAATTAATTAATTAACCTTTATTTATTTATTTAAATTAATTAATTTAATTAACCTTTAACCTTTTTGATTTTTGTGAATCATATAGAAGTTACTTTCAAAAGATATCAATAACATGAATTGCTAAATTTTGACTGTGTGAGTAACAGATGTCTGGATACTGGATAGAACATGTTCCAGCTTTCAGTGATTGTCTATTAGCTGGAATATTCAAAGAAGACGTATACTGTGAGGGTTGGTTTTTTGTTTGTTTTTTTTATAGGAAAGTTGAAAGTTTAATCTGGCCCACTGAAATCTGCAAAACCAGTATTTGGAATATTTATACCAAATGGTATTTTTCAAGTGTTTTAAAGAAGTGATTTTACTGAACCTTAAACTGCAACTGCCTTGAACTTTTTTTTTTTTTTTTTTTTTTTTTTGGTCTTTAAGGCAATTCTCTTTTCCTTTATATCCGTTAATTTGAAAGGACACTGTCAGGTGTTAGATGGAAGTTTAAATCTGGGACATATTTTTAGGAATATGGCTGAATATTTCAACTGTGATTGAATAATGAAAAAAGAGTTCTAGGGTTGAAATCAGAAAGTAAGGCTCATCAGTGTTTGAAATAAAAATCTCAATTGCCAAAATTGTTGTTCACTAATGATATGTGTTATTTTAGGGCTTGTGGGACTCAGCCTGATGCTGTCTTCTCTTTAAGTCTTACAGCTGTCTAGCTTCAGATAATGTTTAGATGGTATTTGGGACTGGAAATCTGCTAGAAGTCAGTCTGTATTGCCTACCAGCCAGCTAGAAAGTCTCAAAGGCAGTTAAAAAAATTAGTCTATTAGATAAGACTATACATAAACTAGAAATGAAAACTCATAATTAAATAGGCAAGCTCGATGTATTTAGATGAGAAAAACTATTAAACAGTACGTCAAGGTTACCAGTTACTGGTGCCCACTCTTTTTTCTCTCATGCCATTTAATAAGTAATCTACCAGAAGTATGATGAAAGTGATGTATTAAAAGATAGTTGATTGAGTGGAACTGGTAACTTCCTAGTATTTTAATAAAATTCTTCCCTACTCTCTGTTTAATAGTTTTAGAAGTACTACATAAAAAGGTGCGAGCAGACTGGTTTTTTTTTGGTTTTGTTTTTTTTTTTTTTTTTTTTTTTTTCTTTTCATTTGGCTCTGTTGAATCTAACTTTGCATGCTTTGCTGTTTTTTGCCCCCTTTCTCACTTCCAGGAAGAGAGCCCCCTGAGTGTGTCTAGCCCAGAGTGTATTGGTACCTGGCTGCATTACACCAGTGGTGTGGGTACTGGGCGTCGAAGACGCAGATCAGGGGAACAAATCACTTCTTCCCCTGTCTCCCCCAAATCATTGGCTTTCACATCCAGTATTTTTGGCTCATGGCAACAGGTTTTTAAACTTTACTTCATTAAACATTACTATGCATTCCAAGCAACAACCAACTGTCTTTAAGGACATCTAATCCCTTGTTACGGATTACATTTGAAGCAAATTCTTCCACTTTTTAAAATTACTTCCCGAGAATGTTTGGGGGAAAAAGAGCAAGTGCATGTTTTTCCACTGAATGTGTTACACACTTTCCTGAAAAATTGGTTTCTTTTTAGGAATTGCAAATGTTACCCCAGTAGAAAAGACACTAGACATTAGTCTACTGCCTAATAAAACAGATTTCTGCTTTGGTTTAGTTGTCCTTTAAGACTTTAAAAATGGCATTGCTTAATTTGGTGGTAGGTAAATTGAAATTTAATTTTTTTTTTTTTTTTTAATAATTGCAACCAATACCATTTAAAATAATTTATTTGGAACTTCATACTGCTGTTCAAAACTTGTTTTGCATTTATCATATTCTCAGTGGCCTGATATTAACTATTGCAGGGAACAAACTCTAGCACTAATAATTCTTGCGTTCTGTATCTGAAGGTATCTAAAACTCCCAATGCAGTACATCATCCATTGTCTTGTACAATATTTTGAAGATTTTTCTAATTATGTGGGGGAGGCAGCTGGAAAAAAAAAAAAGGCAATTTTTTAAAATGATGGTGAAAATCCAAGATTCTTTGTATTTCAAGATATTGTTTACCTATATGACAGTGGATGGTGTTCTGTTAATCATACACTTTTTCTTTGAATTTTTTTGTAATTTCCCTTTTGTGGAAGATTATAAAACTATGTGCATAGGAAAAGTTTATATCAGTGAAGGCTGTGAGCATCTGAAGATTACACTGATTGAGCCCGTGCATGGATCAGTGATTGTATGGTGTCCTCAATAGCCTGTCTGTCTTTCCTTCCCTCCCCTCCTTTTTTTCAATACAGGCGCAGTTTAGGAGAGTGAATTTGGTAAAATAAAATAAAATGTCTCAAACGTCTGTTCTCATATCTGTCTTGGTCTGTGTCCCTTCTCATTCTGAATGCTTGCTTTGCATCACTCCATTGCAAGGAACTCATATGTGAAATGGACTCCCTTCAGAAGGGGATATTGCATGATCTTTCATGTTTCCTTTACATATTTTTACTAACACTTATCATACAGCTTATTAACACTTGTCTGTATGAAACAGGCTGCTGTATCAAGATTAAATGGACATTTCATGCAGCTGTTCTACCTTCCCTTATTTTTCTGTTGTTTTGTATTTTTTATATTCAGGTCCTATCAGAAAGCAATAGTAACTTACGAACACCAAGAACTATTCTGGAACAAAAGCAGAGCAGTCTAGGTATGTACATACAATTGAAATTTTCTTTCATGTTGGCAGTTTTTCATCTGCCTGTTGTTCTGCACAGTTTACATTCTTAAACTTCTGTGTAATAGGACCTGGTAGTGTTTTGCTATCAATAATGTGTTGAGTGTCTGCCTACTGAACTGGACAGTTTACTGCAACAGTAGTCTCTAAGTAAATCACTACTGAAAAGAGCAAATTGTTGGCACTACTGACTGAAAGAGGTAACAGGATTATTTTTAAGATAAAGTAGATTTTTTAGATGTAATTTGACACTGAGGTTTTAGCAAGAATCTTTTGAATAGAAATGACCTACAGTGGAAACTTAAAACACATTTCTTGAGGGTGCTTTAGCAAGACGAGGAGGAAAGAAGAAACAGCAAGTATTGTGAACCACTGGGGTTTTTGCACACATTCCCTCTCCTAAAATCAGTTTCTTCTTTTCAGCATTAGAATGAATCATGCTATAATTCAATCGTATCAAATTCTTTCAATTCACATGGTATTTTTCTGTTACTTCTTGGGAACTGGCATTCATATTGCTGAAATATAAAACCATGAGATCTTGCACTAATGCAAATTAATACTTTATCTTTTTTTCTTTTTTTTTTCTGTGTGTCCTTTCATGGAAAAAAAAAATAAAGTGTACAAAGTGCATAAGCTATATATACATAACTGAAAGTAGCTTTTTAATTCTTTGCAAAGATCTGGTTTTTGGGTTTTTGGTTTGGTTTGGTTTTTTTGCATGTTTAATTATTCTGTGATATTTTCCTTTCTACTATATTTTTCCATTAGTAAAATGCATACATCTTGTTTACGGAAGTAATTTTTTTATTGTGTGCTTGCTAAAGTTAAGTAACTTTCTTTTGCCAATATGACACAATATGTCTTGTGGAAGTTGATTTATTTCTATGCATAGGTCAAGGTATTACATTTGATGTTGAAAGCTGTTGCCACAGACCAGGCAATTTATTTTGGCTGTGATTAGTCACATGTGCTAGTAATGTTTCCTTTTTTGGATCATCAAAAGCAATAAAAGGAAGTATTATTGGATAGATAGTTGGTCTTCAGAAGCAGCCTATCTAAAATTCAAAAGATGAGTCCTGAGTGAAAACACTTTCTTTCAACTAATAGTGAAGAACTGAATAAAAAATAAAGCTGCTTTTTTTTTTTTTTTCCATTTCAGTCAATGTCCTATGTAAGTTCCAGATACAGTGAATTATGAGAGTTATTTTTCTCTATGTGGCTTTCAGTGATTTGTCAAAACTTCCATTCCAGTGGCAGGATTGTATGGCTGTTACAGTGGACTATAACAAGTAACAGTGGACTGTTGCATGGAGATGTATGTCTTCTCTGGAAAGGAAGTGAAGTTAACACTGTGAAACTCTTAGACGTTTTCAGTTTCTGACGTTGTCAGTGATGGTAGATGGACTGTGAACAGAGTATTTCCAATTTGATATACTTTTTGTTTGAGTTAAAGGGGAAATATTTCCATGTCTGTGGAAATGCGTGCATATTTCATTGCAGCCTGTCATCTCAAAAGCTGATTTGGATGAAAGCAATGAGAAGTATTTTCCTAGTTCATATTTGTTTCAGAACTGCAGGTTTTAAAGCACACAAGACTCACACCATCATCTTGCTTTTGTTTTTTTGTTTTGGTTATATTTACATTAATGCTAACTAGTAACTTTTCTTTACCAAATGTGAAAACAGGATAAGAAGTCACTGTGTTAAACTCAGTCCTCTCTTTGCAAATATGGCAGAGAGTGCTGTCTCATGAGTAGAAGCACAATAAATTATGGTAGTTTCAGCCTACAAGTACCTCTGACATTACAAGCATATTGTGAACCTGTCCAAGGCACTGCCAAAAGCTGCCTTTTGTGTGGTAAGAGCCATGTGCTTGCATGCTGCATGCATCCCCAATGTGAATGGACGAACACCTGGTTGTTGTATGTATTTTCTCTAACTCCCATCAGGGTCTCACTGTGCGGGCCTGTTTAGCACCTCAGTGCTCGGGGGTTCTTCAAGTGCACCTAACCTACAGGATTATGCTCGTACGCATCGTAAAAAGCTGACTTCTTCTGGCTTCGTAGATGGTATGTGCACACTCTCGCACATGCACGCACAAACCCATGTGCCACATTAAACTTCTAAAGATAAATCTTTCTCTAATGGAATCCTAGAATCCTTTGCCTTAGTATTAGTTATATGAGGTTCTGTTCTTTCGTAATTGCCCATACCTTGCTTATGTGTAACAACAGCATATTTAATTTCTGTCTCGAACATAAGCTCACAAAATTGTAACACGTGTCAGATAACTTCAACAAATGCTTTTTTTTTTTTTTTTTTTTTTTTTTTTTATGAAAACTAAGATTTTAGTTTTGAATTTCACATTTTAAATGTCAGGTTTTATCATCAATTATTGATCTTGAAGTAAATTACCTGGAGCAAGAAATGAAAGAAATGACAAAGTGATAATTTAAATACTGATGGTGAAAATTTTAGGATTCCTGACTTGTTTTTCAGTGGGGTTTGGATTACAAAAGAGCAGGAGGTTTTCAGTTTTTAATAATCTGGGGTAGAGAAGAAAGTTTTTCACTAGATTTCAGAACATACAAGTGCCAAAGGACACCTTTATAGCTCTGAGGTGAGACGGTATTCATGCTGTTTCCCCCTCTCTGTTCACTACTCAATGTTCAACTCAAACTTGATATAACGTTGTATGCCAGAATCACCAGCTCATTCTGCTTGTTTTCATACACTTCATTACACATCTTGTAGTTAGCAGCAATCCAAATTTTCTTCTTTTTAACCTCTATTTAGATTTTAGTCCTTTTCCGTGGTCCCCTCTGCATGCCACTCAGTTCTAATACCTTCTCATCTTTGTTTTTTTTTTTCTTTCCTCTTCTTTTCCTTTTGTAAAATGTCCCTCTTTTGGTAGCTGTTACAAATTTCAGGTACCTGTTTTTCTCTTTCTTAGACACCACACGCGGTTCTGCTGTTAAAAGGTTTTCTATCTCATTTGCTCGACACCCAACCAATGGTACGTTTTGCTTTTATTTTAAAAACAAAAACAAAAGGTTCCTCGCTTCATCCCTTTTATTTTTATTTCAAATATGGGGTGTACAGTATCATCCAGCCGTCTGTCATTCCTAACTTCAAGCACAATTCCAAATATATTTGTAATCATTAGATATCCTAATCCCCTTCTCTACCATTCATTAGTTAAAATACAACATCAAAATTCATTCCTCAGAAAAATTCTTGAAAAAATTGAAGTGCTGCTGTTAATCGTGATCTCTGTAATAAATTATTGTCCCCGATTTCTCATGTAATCAAGACTGTATGGAGCAAGATAAAAACAGAGATAAATCTGATCTTTATTGGGCATATGCTTCTTGATAGCTGCTGCTGCTTCTTCTTCACCTTTCTTCTGCTGAGCTGTTTCCCTGATGCAGAATCAGCCGCCTGATTCTAAAATAAATCACTGAAATGACAACTCAAGTTTATGACTATCTTCTTGAAGTGATGCTAAATTAAAAATATAAAGAAGACATTTTATTTCCATTCCTGCTTAATTGCTGTATTTATCATCAGACAAAAGTTTATTTTACCTTTTCATGTGTCTCATCAGATGTGCAAATTATTATATCTTGCACTAAAAAAGTCACAGCAAGAGAACTGCCTGTTGCTTACATTGACCTTTCAAGCTTCAAGGGTAAGAGTTAGATTGTCTTCAGACTAATATATTTGCAAAAAAGGTCTCATATAACACGTAGGACAGAGGTATATCTTCCTCTTTCTCAGCAAAATATTTCCTGCCTAACTTTATACATGATTAAATAGGACCGAAATATATCCTGTTCACAGAAACCAAACTCAGTCTTCAGTATCCACCTGATCTTAAAGTAGCTATTCCAGATTTCTTAACTGTAGTTTTAAAATAGGTGAGGCCACTGGCTGAGCTCAGTGATGATGACATCACTGAAACTGCAGTGGAAATCATCAGCATTTTTGTGTTAGACTCAAAATGAATTTGTTTAGAAACAAAGTTAAAGAAAGAGTGTTTTTGTTTTGCTTTGCTGAGAAGCAAGGTGGTCTTTTACTATATTCACTTGGAATACATAGGAATTTTTTCACACTGCAGTGCTTATTGAAGAAAAACTGGTATACTAGGAAAAATAGGAACCCATTATTTATTTTTAGAATCAAGTAATATTTCCAAAACATACAGGGTCAGAAAGGGCTGCATTTGAATATATCAATCTAATAATTGGTTACTTTCTGTTCCATTTAGCGCTCTCTTTTTGTGACTGCATTCTTTAAAAATAGATCTAAATTTCTTTTAATGAATGCATTGATTGTTCTGATTCATTTAATACAGATGTTTTCCCACACATCTTTTACAAGACTAATGCATGCTCCATGAGCTCCTATAGTATCTGAATACATTGCAGATTTCTGAGTTCTCTACTAACATAAGGACATATTGGTGTTGTTTTGTCTGTCCTATGGACTGTCATTTTTATTCTCTTTGTCCCTTTCACTCTGTTTTTTCTTACTTTTATGTTGTTATCACACCCTTTAACTCATATCAGACTCCTCCCTCTCCCACCATCTTTAGTTCAAGGAACATGGTGAAACAAGTATCTTCTGACAGTGCTTTACCTTATTTTCTGGGCCTCTGTGCAGAACACCCACACCTCTTTAGGTGCTGGTCCATTTCCTCTGTGGAATTTCTAGGCTCCAGTGGTATGTCTCTACAGCTTTTAAATGTAAGGCAGCAGGGTGGCTTTTTGAGATGCCGCGTAACCCTTTCATTGTCTTGCATTTTGATGGGGATGATGTTTTATGAGTCAACATAGACAAAACTCAAAAGTTGTTAGCTTATAGGATATTGCTTTTTGAAGGGGTACTGTCAGGCTTCTTCATCTTTAAAATTCAAACTTGTTTGTCATAAAATTATATTAAAAAGAGGTTTCATAATTTATAAAATATTCAAATAAAACACTGCAGAAAAATTTCCAAGATGTTTTTTAAGTCGTATCAGCTGTGAAGATATTGCAGCAACATGCTGGTATATGGCTATCAGCAGAATTGTCAAAACCGAATAAAAAGTTATGAAGGGGCAAATTCCTGAAAGAAAAATGTTTTTTTTTCTCTTTGTGTTAGGCTGTGAGTGCACTTGAAATTCATTTATGGTTTTCTATAACACTGCACTGTCACAGTAATAATTATTAAAAAGCCTGACATTGTCCCACTACTTTCACTGCAAAATTAAAAAAAAAAAATCATTCAAATGATTGCACGACTGTGATTTTTCTCTCAGTGTAAAGAGAGAAGTCTTAACCTTACTGTAATGCAAAGAAAGGGTTTGCGCTTTGCATGCACGCGTAGTTACTTAAGATATTAACATGTATGCCAAACATATTTTAGTGCTTACACTGAAACTTAAGTCGTTGTGTTTACATGAAAATAGAAACAAAATATGTGGAGGTGTTTCTTTTGTACTTGAAAACAAAGTTTCCATGAAATGCATAATTTTATTTGTAGTATGAATGAAGCCGACATAAGTATGCGTTGATTGATTAGATATTTGGAGTGACTGTCCCTCCAGCTTTATGGCCAAGGTGGATTCAAATATAAATATAGGCATTTTCAGGATGAAATTCTTCTTCTTTGTGCAAAGCACTGAATGAGTTAATGGGAAACACTGGATAACAGAGGAATATTGATGCTTATTTGTCTGGGGGGAGGGAACAGTTCATAGTCATAACGCTATTGCTAATAAATGTACCTTGAACTGAAACTCTAAACATTATTTCATTCACTATTGTTTCTTCATTTAAATATATCTTTTTAAGTGTAGCAACTGTAAATTTACAGTATTTAATTTCAAAGTTGTAACGTTATAGCTGTATGTTGAAAATACTAATGGATGTATTTTCTGCTTTTGAAATGCAATTGAATGAAGAGCTGTTCATTGAGTTACCAAGTATGCAGTAGTTTACAGAGCTGCAGGGTGGGTTTTTTTCCCAAGCTGTGTTTAAGTACTTGTCCTTACGTTAGTAATAGGAATATACATGGTTGCCTTATACTAATATAGAAAAACAAAGTCTAAACAATTTTTAGATTTTGGTTTGGAAATACGTACCTGGACCAATGTATGAAACTTCTGGTATTTTAAGTAAGGTTTTAAAATGCCAAAAGGTAGGTGTAAAACTGTCTTTCAAAGTTGAAACTCATTAACAAAAGGCAGAAAAGTGCAGATAGTGGTTTTCCTTTGATACATAAGGCTACAGTTTGTTTTCACAGAATAATGAAGGTGATAGAATTTGAATTCTGAAAATATATTTCTTCCCAGAAGTGGTAGCATTTGTAGTTCTTATTTTGGCTAACTGTTTACAACATAGCTGTCTTATTGCACTTACATGAATTAGTTACCTACTTGTTGTTCTGTGAGGAATGTGAATGAGTAGGAGAAATACTGCTATACCTGACTGTTTGTTGTTTTGTTTTGTTTTTTTTTTTTAACTACATTTGTCTTAGAGGAAGATTATCTTTCATTTAGAAGAGTACAACTGTAAAGTTTGCAGACTTGCACATGGGCTTTATATCCCATGATATGCTGTATGGTACCTTGAGTTTTGTATATCCTGGAAATTGGCACATCTTGTTCCAACTCCTGTAATGTTTAATATGATTTCAACAGTACTATGTCTGCATGTGCTTTGTCATGGATTAATTCTTGCTGATGCAATAGCTTAAATCCTGTCCTAAGTCTGGAAATCTCTTTTTTTATTATTATTTTTGTTACAGGTTTTGAACTATATTCCATGGTGCCTTCTATTTGCCCTTTGGAAACTCTTCACAACTCCCTGTCTTTGAAGCAAGTGGATGAATTTCTTGCCTCTGTTGCTGCTCCATCAAAGGAAAACCTACAGGAGACATGTACTGATTTGAGTTTGTAATTATGCTCACATTAAATTGTTAGATGTTGTCTAGTGAATCTGTCTAGTATTCTACAGCTAATGAGCAAACTAAGAATTTTGCTTTAAAAGGGGGAAAAAAAAAACAATGATACTGCAAAAGTTTAAAGTTACAGTGTATCTCACTGTACAGACACTGTTATTATCCAATGAATTAATGCTTCTGTTGACTGGTATAGTAGATCAGGGACTTTGCAAAATCATAATTCATTTATTTCCTCACATTAAGAACTTGTCTGAGCTGTCCACATTGTTAGTTGAATGATAAGGAATCCTTTCTAGTGAGCACGCAGTATATCTGCCTTTGTATTGTATCATTCTAGCAGAGTAACCTCAGGAGATTAGTTGCCTTTCATTTCTTAAAAATGTATCATTCTCTATTTATTTCATTAATACTTAATGTTTAGCGTGTCGAGTGCTTTGCCATTCTCTATTTATTTCAGTACTACTTAGTGTTTAACCTGTGGAGTGCTTTGCCATTACTCTGTGTTTTTTTTTTTAATGATTTGTGCAGTATGTTTAATGCTTAGGTGGTCTTGAAGCTAAATGAAAACTGAGTTTTCCGTGTGTGTGTGTCTCTGGGAAGATGGTTTCCCATTTGCAAATCTACTGCTGTTTCTTCAGAAGCAGTTTCAGTTGGGTCCAGTTGACCGCTTGTTAGCACAGTTATAATTTGTATGTCAGCTGAGTGAAAAACAATCTTGAGGAAATGCTTACAAACTCATGCTTTGATGAGGAAAAACTTGTACTTGCCGATGAGAAAATTTGTTACATGGGTGCTAGGATTTTTCCTTTTTTTACTATTGCTTTAGGTTTATACACTCCATATTTGAATCAGTAACTAATTTGATAGCATGGGGCTCCTATATGTAGGAGGGGAGATCAATTAAGAAAGCTGGTTTTACTGGAAAAGTTCTCAGTAGGTCATAAGAATGTCAAAGTTCTCAGCTATTTAAAATGCCTTGTTACGCTGGTTGGGAAGACAGTGTTACTTCAGTAGCAGTTCAAGTTTTCACAGTACACAAGGCGTGACAGTATTTTTAAAATATTCTCTGGTGGTCTGGTTATCACCAGATGGAAATCTGACCTGACAGAATTGAGGGCATATGTGCTTTGTTCCCCCTCTGCTTTCTTACAATGCATGCAGTTGTTTGGAGAGTAATATACTGTACACACATTTCATTCACTTTCTGTATTAAATATGCATTCCAGTGCAATCTTCATCACCTGTGGGAAGTAGCATTAATGCTATTGCCAGTTTTATGTCAAGGCAGTAATTCCTGAAACTTGGATTAGTGGCAGCATGAAGTTATATCACTTTCCAAACTAAATTTTTAAAGATTTTTTTAACTGGCAATGCAGTAATCAAAAATCTGTAGTTGAGTTGCTTGTTGTATAGCAGTGGCTTTTATAGAACATGACAGACAAAACAGATAATATCCGACAGACAACAGTATTGTAGTACAATTGTTTGCATTTTTTGAAGCTGAGTGTTTTTACTGTTAATGTTTTTTGTTTGTTTGTTTTTTGGGGTTATTTTTTTGCCTTTCAGCTTCTCCAACTTACATGAGTCCATTGTCAGGAAGAAAAATTTCATTGAATACATACACCCCTGCAAAAATCCAGCCAACACCACTTGAAACTTTGCCAGAAAAGCCAGCAATAGAGAAACCAGCTTCATGTAAGTAACTTCTGTGAGGGGCAAAATTGTAAAATTTCACTGAATTATTTCCAGCAGTATTTTCATTTGGTTCGTTGGTTTTCTTACATATTATGTTGTTTCTGAGGACGGCTATTTCTTAACATTCCTTGTCTGTGAGGTCATTTTATGGGTCAATTTGAATTCAGTGCTGTTGCACAAATAGTTTTAATAATGAAACCGAACTAGTCATTATTTTCCCTTTTTCTCTGAGATGCTGGAAAGGATTTCTGTGGCATCAAAATTGATAGTTTTTCGTTTTGAAGTGTGACAGTAATATCTGGCTATCCCCAGGAGAGACAAGCAAAGGAAAATTGTTTTAATGCTAGAATTTCTAACATGAAGTATAGTAATGCTCCAGCAAAAAAAAGTTGACTGTTTCTAACTGAAGATCTCCTTGTGACAAATCTGAAGAAGGAAGAAAAATGAAGAATAATTCAAACACTGTTGCTGTGTGCGTGAATTTTGATCACTTAAAGAAAAACTTCCACACAAAGCTTGTAGAAGCAGAAATTTTATATACATGTACACAAGATCAAAGGAAAATAACATTTTTAATGCTTTTTAAAATAACATTATCTTGCCACATACAATATATTCTTCCCTTGGTGATTTTAATTACCATGATTAATTACACATGAACACGGTAAAAAGCTTTCTTTTTTTAAGTGTTGGGTTTTTGGGTTTTTAACTGAGCTCAGCTGCTCATTTGCATACAGACCAAAAGCTGCAAAAATACTTGCAAAAAAAGAAAAAAAAATACTTTTTTACCCTTTTTGACCTAAGCTGAAAACGTTACCACAATGGATTTTTCTTTGAGTTATTCAATTTGTGGATACAATTTGTTTGCAGTATCTCAGGCTTTGTATAGTAGCTGGGACCTAATGGTCCTTTTCCTGAAAAACAGTTTTAGAGCCAAAGTCATTTCATATATTTGCTTTACAAGTGCATTTTGTGATATATATTTTATACTGAAAATGTTTTGGTTTTTTTTTCTTAATATTAGTCCTTTTACATATATTAAGAGGTCTTCAAAATTGAAAATTACAATGCAAAAGTAGTTTATTTAAACAAGTGGAAGATAGTACATAAAAGATTTTCTGAAAGATGCTCTCTGAAAAGGTGTAAATGCATCACCTGAGAACTTCAAGGCCTCTGTGAGAAAGCTCACCTTCCTGTGATGGTACATGAGGCAAGAATGTTTTGTTGGAAATATGAGATGCTGAGATCAACTGCAATTCCTTTGCTTCTTTCTGTATCTCATTGCCACTGTCAAAGCAGTATGCTATTTCTTATGAAATAACAACACTTCCCTCACATTTTTCTTGCTTCTGATATTTTAGCATGCATATTCTTAAATATAAAACCTAATAATTTATTTTCTTTATCTGTACAGCTTCCAGTGAATCTTCTGTGTGTGTACCTGATGTTAAGCTATCTGTTGAAGAAGCCTCACTAGGTGAAGAACTTAGTAGTGACACTCTTTCTGAGAATAAGTGCATTTGATCAGAAAAAACTGGAAAGAACTTCTTAAATGATTTCTTAGTGTTCATTCAAATAAATAATTGATCACGCAAAAGCCATTCATGCCTGCAATTTATAGTGCATTTAAGAACCTTCTGTTTAAACAAGATTGATTAATGTGCATTGTACATACGTTTGTCAAATGTCTTTTCTCATTTTCTACATATTTCAGGAAATGCATTTATTTATCAGTTTGAACTGCACACCTCTAAAGAAAAAGCTGCACATGAACCTTTTCGTTGTCTTCAGATATTGACTGTAAACTTATTCAAAAGTAGTACGTGTTACAGAGGCTCTGCTGATGTCACTGTAATGAAGTATTGTCCGTTGTCGTTATGAACTTCTATTTTCAGGAGTTTATAATTTGCCCGCAAGTTTCTTTTGTGGGCTGAAATGTAACACACATCTTGGCTGAAAGCTTTTTTCTTTTTTCTTTTTTCTTTCTTTCTTTTTTTTTTTTAAGTTAACTACGTATCCAAAGAAATCTCTTTTGGCTGTTTTTAAAAGATAAGCAGGTGATTTCTGCATTTGAACAATTTTATATCGTATATGCTGCAATAAGTAGGCATGATGGAGTGAGTCAATGTACTTCTACTTTTGAGTCTCCTTATTTTTAATTTCTGTTTACATCAGACCTGTAACATTCAAAGTACCTTCTCTTTTGTTGTGTAGTATACATGCTTGTATACGGGTACCTGTATATCATGCAGCAGATAAAACTGTCTTTTATATGTTTTTATCAAAAGAAATCTTTTGTTTACCAAAAGGACAGCTTTATTTGCTTTGCCATATGTTTCTACAAAAAGATGATGTTAAAAAGCAGGGTTTATAAAAAAGAGAAAAGGTTACAGCTGGTCTTCTAGTCAGTTTACCCTAAAAATTGTAAATATTCTGTCTATACTGTATTCCCATCCCTTCAAAGTAAAGAGAGAGTGTGATCTGCCAGGACTCAGTTGCTGATGTTGCAAAATACTCAGGCTTGAGCATGGCATGGGGATTTCCATAACCCTGTCCTTCCAATCTAGGGGATAGACAGCAGCTCTTATTAAAGGACATTAATTATTTTGTAAGATCTGTGAGAAGCATTACCATATCAGTGGAACCTCGAGTTACTGGATTATATACAGTAATCATCCAGTCTCAGCAGTTCTGTCATTTTCTGTGGCATGACAAACCATTGATGATTACACTTATTCCAAATGTGTGAAAACAGTGTCCACTTGTTTCAGTTCAAGTGGAAGACATTTATTACTGACTTAATAAGCTATAAGTTAAAGTTTCGTGTTTAAGTTGCATAGCTTCTGAGTAATACTTTTCAGTAGGGCTCTTTTTCATCTCCAGAGCCAGTGCAACTGTAATTTTTATTCACCTTGCCACAGGGTCTGTGTCTTTACTACGTGTGAAATAGCTTCAGCACTCTGATTATAAAAACTGCTGGTTAAATACCAAAAATATGAAGGGTTTCACAGCTATATACTTAATACATTTCATTTTTGTAGTTAACTGTTATTGACAGTGTTTGTCTCGCACACAACTGAATGTACACATTGTTTACTATTTAAAAAATACTGTTAGAAGTATGCATACCATTCCAGTCAACCAAAGCTGTGGCATAACTTTTTTTATGTGCTCCTAAATAAAAACAAGGCCATTGGCAACTTGTGTCTGCTTTGTTTTCTCTTTTAAGAGTATCTTCAAAGTGTCGTCAATCGATCTTAGTGGAGAAAAAACTGCAAGTATGCTAGTCATGTACAAATGAGCCTGATTTACTCCTGGTGGTTGAAGATGTAGTGCATTTACCACTTGATGCTGAAGGCACTCCTCACAAAGGCACAGTGGCAAGCGGTCACACTTTCTGCTGTGCATCCCAATGTTCCAGAGATAACATTAAGCACAGAACCACTCTGAGTGCTTTTCTGTTTGTGCATACTGCTCTGGCAGAATAAGGACTGTACCGCACAGACACCCTGTGCATTCTACCCTTCAGAACCTGTTTCATTACGTAATTGAACTTTCTCTCATTAAGTTTTTTGAACTGTACATCCTATTGCAGCCAGATATGACAGAGGTCTCAAGGATTGTGTTCACAGAAGATCACTGCTTAAATTTGGTAACTCCAAATGCTATCACACAGATAACATAGTTTCAATAAACATTTAGTGTTTCCTCCAAGAGAACAAAACTGAAGAATATTCACTAAAACTTGTGCAATTTTAAATATCTCTCTTTTTTTTAATCTCGTTTGTTTGTCACAATAAAGATGTATCTTTGACTTCTTTTTGTACTACTAATTAGTCTTTCCTAAGAGAAGTCAACTGTGCTTGCATAGTTCAGTTTTGTAGGAATCCATATAAACAGGTCTAAGGAGAAAGGAATAAGGGGAAAGGCAAACAAAACATACTGATCAGATTATACAGATCACATCTGATAGATCTGATCAGTAGTATCAAAACCAGTGGAGTTCAAAGGGAAGATAGCAGAAGAGCGATAAGTAGCATTTTAAAGACCCATTTCAATGCAATAGAATATTCAAGTGGAAGAATGTAGTGATCTTACAGTGGTCTGTTACCTATGAAGCATAAGGTTTCTCTTGTTCCTGTATAACGTTTTTTAATCGGCATACACCTAAAGAGAAAGCAGTGAAGACCTTTCTGAATGGTCACTCTGAAGAAATTGAGAGGCATGTAAGAAGCAAAGGCTATTAGTAGGTATTTATCCTCCTTTTGTTATTCGAATAATGGCTTTCACTTTGCTTGTTGATACATTTCACTATTAAAATCACTTGACACATTTCACTATTTTCAAATAGAAATTAGTCAACTCCCGCACTTACCCCCATGAAATTAAAATGAGTTGTCTGCTCTGAAATAGAAAAGCTAAGGTAGTGACAAAACAATCCAGTTTGTATTTCTATGGAAAAGAGATGCCTAATTTTAAAATAAAACTAAATCAGATTACATTAAAATTTTAAATGAAGAAATAAACCCCATAATACTCTGGGGTTTATTACTCTGGACCGTATACTGTAATACCTCCATTTGCACTGTGACTCATTATTTTAAAATCTAACAGTGCTGCAATCTAATGGAATAGAGTTCCATTAAGGGTAGCAAGGAGTTGGTATTCCAGCACTGGCATTCCCTACAAAGTAGCCTGTGGGAGATTCCTCAAACAATGTGCAGGTCTGTCTCTGATGAGACATTCTTCCTTCAATGAATACGTAGAAGAATGGCAGAATATGAGAGCCTTGCAAATGATCAGCACTTTGGAGACAAATTCTATCTTTGCTGCTCATGCTGTGGAAGAATCTCGGAGAGGTCAGTGTGTGTGTTTGTTGTGTGTGTGCTGCAGCTTGTTTGGAGCACGGGCTACTTCCACTACTGCTCTTTCACGTGGGCATGAATGATGCTGGAAGCCAGAACGTGGGCAGAATCAAAGACTATCATAAAACCCTGGGAGCGCAGATGAGGAATCCTCATGCCCTAGTTTTCATCTCTTCAGTTTTCCAGTTGAAGAAAAGAGGGAAGCCAGAAACAGACGCACAATGCCTATCAGTTCCTGGCTACGTGGACAGTGCCCATGCACTGTTTTGGTTTTTATGACAGTTTTTATGACAGGACTTTCAGTGAAGATTATAATCTATTAAAGAGGGATGGGATCCACCTGCCTAGAAGAGGCAGGGCAATCTTTGGCAGCAGGCTGGCTAACCTAGTGGAGGTGGCTTTCAGCTGAAGGCGTTGGAGGGGTGAAGTCAAAAAGTGGCAATGTTCACGCCATTGCAATAGACTGGGGAATGAGCCAGGACAACCAGAACAGTGACAAATGCTGCTTAGCTGCCTTCCTTGAGCCAGAATGCCAGCTGCCTCAAGAGCAGGTATATTTACAGGGAGTCCTTGTGCATCCCTCTAGGAATACCTGCATCCTCTGCTCCCTTTTCTCCTCTAAAGTGCCTGCATACCAATGCATGGAGTATGGGGAATAAACAGGAAGAGCTAGTGCTAGTGCAGTTGCAAGGCCATGATCTCACTGTAATCATAGACACGGTGGGATACTTTACATGACTGGAATGCTGTCATGGATGGCTACAGATGTTGCAGGAAAGGCAAGCTAAGCAAGGCATGGCAGAGGAGTTGCTCTGTATTTGAAAGAGCAACTTGAATATCTAATCTCAACCTAGATGTGAATGAGGAACAAATTGAAAGCTTATGAATGAGAATTAAGGGACAGGATAATATGGGTGACACCACTGAGGGTGTTCACTACAGGCTGCCTGATCAGGAGAAGGAAGTTAATGAGGCCTCCTGCAGATAGCTGGAAGAAGCCTCATGATCACAGGCACTTGTTCTCATGGGGAATTCAATTTTATGTTTGTTACATTTGTTGGAAAAGCACAGATAGACCAGGAGGTTCCTGCAAAGCATTGATGATGACTCTCTGATCTGAGGTGGTGGAGGAGCCACTGGGGAGAGATGTGCTGCTAGGTTCACTTAACAGATCCAGATTATTATTTGAACCCAATGCATGTCATGTAAAAAACATTGTTTTGTTGTACAATAAATGTCGAGTTATACTGTGAGACTTCATTCTGCATCCTTACATTACATAGTGGCAAAAGGTTTGTATGAAGTTAGTGACCTGTAACCAAAGAATTTTTTAGCTCAGAGCTGGAAGACTTCCAGCTGGAACACCATTAGCAAGAACTTTCTGCTGCCTTCTCCTATATATTTGTGCCTTCTCCCACGCATGCTAAATGCATCATTTCTCCCAAACTGCTCCAAATCTTTTCCCTTTCACAATTAAGTTTTAAATCCTATTGTGTAGATAGAACACAGTGCACCTTTTCATGTTGGCTGGGTGTAATAATTTCTTTGAGATATTCTGAATCAGAGTGGGTAGTGACTGAACATCTGCAAAACATATACAACTCTAAAAACTCATCCTATTTCAATTACTTTCCAGTGCTTACCTCCTCCATTAAACATGAAGAAATAAACTTAGCCTTGCACAAGTAGCCAAGATTCCCACTGAAGTCAGCTTAATTGTGCAAAAAGGAAATTTGTCCCAGAAAGCAAATTAAGGAATACTTTTCATGCTCTCTGAAAATCATTTTTAACTTGTATATAAGAAATAAAGGTGGGATTAATGAATTATGTACAGCAAATTTTGCTAAGTTATATTACAATTACTCATCACAGAATTACAGAAGAGATAGTTTTAACTTCTAATATAAAAATACTCTGGATTTTAATGTTTTTTTCTTCATCATAAATGTAACCCTACTATTTCAACTGTACCCTCTCAGAATTGTTTTTCTTTTTTCCTTCCACCTCTCCCCAGAATAAAAATATTTTGTATTTTATCTTGGATGTCCTTGGGGATTACCAGCAAAATCCAGATTTTCGGAATAATGGCTACAATCCCCAGTAAGGAGAAAGAAAGTGAACATATTAAAAATGCTTTCTCTATTAAGCACTGGAATTTAATTCACATGCACTAAAGTATTATCCATTTGAATTTTTTTTTTTAAATATTCTTTTAACTGATTGTCTTTGCATTCTTGTGGTGTAATAGCTTCTTTAGTGGTCAAATCAACATAGCAGTTCCCAGCGTGCAAGCCCAAAACACGCAAAAGCAGAGAGAAAAACATTTTGATAAAATTCCTCTAAGGATAATAAATAAGGAAGAAATCACAGATAATAAAAGAAAATGAGCACTTTTTCTGTGTATTTCACTTTTAATATTATGATTTTTTTTTTTAAATTGAGTTATACTGTTGGCGAATTCACTGTCATCAGTGCAGGAACGCACTGGTGTAGGTTAACGATTTAGTCAGAGTACCAAGACGCAGAAAATAGTTTGTAATAGTCTGTGATTTTTTGCTGCCTTGAAGCAGCACTAAAAAGTTTTAAGCAGTTTGTAAGTAGAGAAAACAAATACCAAGCACATCAATGTGTCTTTGTTCAGCATGTAAAACCTTGGGTGATTTTGAAAGCACTGCAAAAATACGGTGAAAAACAGTTGTCAGTCTAGGGAAAACCTGAGCTTGCTGTGCTGCATAGAAAAGGACTAAAAGGACTACAATTGAAATTCCTTACAAAACTGTTTTTTTTTTTTCCTGTGTTGAGTAGTTCCAGCTAAAACTTGCAAGAAGCACACATCAGGTGCATCTCAGTTCATACTGGTTGGCAAAGCAGGTGAGCGTCTCATGTTGGTTCCTTCCTCGGCAATGCACGGCCATGCAAGGCCACCGCAACTAAGATGGTTGCAGCTTGACCACAGGGATCATAAGAAGACAGGAGCAGGGTCTTTCTGCAGAGGACTTCTGTGCACTCCCAAGGAGGGCAGCAGACGTTAGCTGTGTACTGAAAAGCATGTCTTTGGAGAGATTGTAGGAACAAAAGCTGGCTCGGCTCCAGCCCATTGTGATTAGAAATTCCTGTGACCCAGCTGCATGGTTCAGCTCCCAACAAAAATAGAAATAATCACTATGAAGTTAGTGTTTTCTGTTCGCTTTGTTTTTTCTTACTTGAAGAGTCTAAGTTAGGCAATAACTCAATAACTACTGTTAGGTAGTTAGGTGCAGTAACCGCATCTCAACCTGGTCCTGTACCAAACTGAGTAGGGAAATGCTGAAACTGGTTGTTGGCAAAACCACTGACAGAAGTTTGTTTCTAGTCAGCATCCACGTTTTATGGATGTGGAAATACTGCAGTGGTTTGTAGGCTGAGATTAGCAATGCTTCAGTCCACTGCTGCCAGGAGGTGATTACTTGGCTCCTTTTTATGGCTATGTGCACAGTGAAAAGATATCTGTAACAAACAAACAAACAAAAAACTGTAATAAAATTTTACTAGTTTGGAGAAGGCTCAGGGGAGGTCTCATTGCTCTCTATGACTCACTGAGAGGGGGTTGTGGGGAGGACGGGATCGGCCTCTTCTCCCGTGTAACTGGCGATAGAACGAGGGAGAGAGAGGCCTCACGTTGTGCCAGGGAAGAGTCAGGTTGGATGACAGGACAAAAACATTCCCTGAAGATCTCCGCACCTCCACTACCGCTGCTCACACCCGGCGGCCCAGGGCCCGGAGGAGCGGCGCGGCAAGCGGCAAGGCGGGACGGGCGGGATGCGGCCGCTAGATGGCGGCCTGCCCACCGACAGCACGCCCCGCCCCCGGCGAGCCGAGCGGGGCGGGGCCGCTCCGGGACGAGCAAGGGAAGCGCCGGGTTGCTCCCTCCGCCATCCGCCGCGTCGCTCGCTGCCGCCCTGCGCCGAGCCCGCCGCCCTGGAGCGCAGGTAGGAGGCGGGATGGGCTCGGAATCCGCGCCTCCCGCGGCGGAGTCCCGGCGGAAGAGACGGGGGGGCGGCGGCAGCCGGCGCTGCAGGCGCTGCAGACACTGCGGGCGGGGGTCCGGCTGAGGTCCGGCTGAGCTCGCCTGGGCCCGGCCGCGGCGCTCCCGGTGGGTCGTGCTGGACTGGGAGCCGCCGGGAGGGCGTCCCCGAGCCACTCGCGCGGGAGGCGGGCTCGGCCCCGCGGCTCCGGGCGGAAGACGAGGGCTGTCTTTCGCGCCTTCGAGCGGGAGCCCAGGACGTGCCTGCGTCCGCGTGCGGCGACGGGAGCAGGAGGGCGGCTGGCGCTCCGTGCCGGTGTTCGCCTTGAGCCCTGCAGCCCGGTACCGCGCTGTGCCTGCGCGATCCTCCCCGGCTGCACCTTGCGGCCGGCGGCGATCCCCGCGCTGCCGTGTGCGCCTTTTTGCAGGTGGCACCTCGTCACCGGCCAATGCTCCGCGCAGTGCCGAGCGCTCCACGGGTCTGTAGGAGTGCTCTTTTCCGTGGGGGATTTGGGCGGTGTAAAAAAGGACTGCGTGTGCGTGCGTACTTATTGCACAGAAAGCAGCGAATGATGTGCGAGGCATGTTTTCTCTGAGCGTGTCCTTGCTCGCCTCTGCGTGTGTTCGTTAGGCCTGTGCGCCCCGCCGTGCGTTGATGCTTCCCGTGGGAACGGGTCGTGCGGCGGCTCGGCGGGAGCGGCGCAGCCGTGCTGGGAGCGGGGCACCGATGCGCCCCGAGGGCCGCCCCGGGGTGGAGGCCGTGCTGTGCGCTGCGCTGATCCCTCTGACAGCCTTCCCTCCCGTCCCCGTCCTGAAAGCTTCTCTTCCCGCTGCCCTGCTGCTGGGCTTTTTTTTTTGTTTTTTTTTTTTTTTCTTGGTGGTTGTTGTTTGTTTTGCCCTTCCTCTAAGAAGGGCTCTTATTAGAATAATAAAGATGGAGGAGGGAGTTTCTGACTTCGAAATGGAGGGAAGGGAGGCAGGGGCAGTGTGTCTGTTGAAGTTCTTGCGTAACAGTACCTACATCGTAGCCATTTATAATCCCCCCCCCCCCCCCCCCCCATTTGATCACCCTTACTCCTCGGATCTGGCGACCAGCCTTGCATAATCGTGTGATTATGTGCAAGTGTATGTGTTAGGGTAAAGTCAAACAAACCCAGCATTCCTGGTCAAAGTTTTCAATTGCCAGTTGTTGTAGTAAAGAGAAATGCACTGTACTTAAGTATGCCGTTGGACATTTATTAATATTCACCCCTATTTGTATTATACTCACACAAACACGTGTTTAGCCAGCAGTAACTATGGGAAGGAGCATGTAAGAAGGAAGGAGAGAATAAAGCTTAAAAGCCGTTGTGTTTAGGAAGCTTAGAAACTGGCCTTTTTGCAGTATGGATGATATAAGCAAATGAGATGTAACTTTTCAGCAAATACTTAGATGTCTGGTGCAGATTGCATCACCTTGAGACAGAGAGCTACTCGTCTCAAGTGCTCCAGTTAAACAAGAAATCCAGCAAAGTAAATCACATGAATTAAATATAGTATCTTCCCCTATAACTATAACCCTATATAACCCTATAACCCTATAAGTGCATCTTGTTTTTAACTAGTGTCTTTGTATTGCCATTCCTAATCAAAGCTGAATACAGAACTGTTGTTTTCAAAATGCTATCTCTGGAGCTGTGTTTTCAGTTGTGGAAACAGCACACTGCTTAACACACCTATTTCATTTCAGATGTAGGAGCAGTGGGTGCCGTCATTGCTGTTCATGTTTTCTTTTTCTAAAGGTTAAAAAAAAAACAATGCTTATTCCGTGAAATCTGCAATATCTTTTAAATTATCCCATCCTTCCCTTTTCAGTATTAAAAAAGGATTATTATTATTTTTTTTTTTTTTGACAAGTGGAGCTGTGTAGTGCGGTAGATTTTTTTCTGAAGTCAACTAACCTAAAACTTGTTAGAAGACAACTTTTGAAAACTACTTATTTTGGTTACTAAGGTGGAAAGCAAAGATGTGAAAACGTAAGATGTGATCATAAAGAGTACCCCTTGGTTTTTGGCTGTAGCTAACTAAACAACGCAGTGTTTTGTGTCAGGAACTTTGTGTGTCGCACCACTCAGCCTTTTGATAAGCAGTAATAGCAAATAGCTGCTCTGTGTTGGCTTGGTGGACTGAGGAGTGGTATTCCAACTAGAAGGAAAGGGGCATTGCTTATTTAGAGAGCTGTACATATTCCGGAAAAGGTGCTCTCTCAAATGCTTCTCTCTCTTCTTGCTTGGCAAAGAGATAGCAAATGGCCGGCTTTCCTACCATCTTCTTTTACGCTTTCTGCTTAGTAAGCCTCCTTATATAAAATTCATCAGCCTGGACCTGCTTTTGAAATTCCTCTCGTCTCTGCTGGGCACTGTGGTGCTGACCTGGTCTGCTGGCTGCCTGTCAGCCAGGGGAGCTCATTGCTGGGGCTGCTGCTGTAGTTTTTCAGCACTTGCTTGTGGCCCTCTCCGTTCTGATGAATTATTTCTGGATCAAACTTGCTTTCTATTTAAAGCTAAACTAGTAATAAGAGTTAACAAATTAGTTAATTGATTCTCGCTTCTTGCAGTAGGAATTTTACTAGAAATTTGAAGTGTGCTTTTTTTTCTTTTTTTTTTTTTTTTTTTTTGGAAAACAGTTAGCAATCTGTTGTTCTACACAAACTGTGTGGTACAGGAGATGTGTTGATGCCCCATACTAGGGATTGCTGGAGATCTTAATCCTTCACCTGCTCTTGGCCCCAGTAACTTTGCCACAGAAATGATCTGTGGAATGGAACACCTCTCCTGTGAGGGCTGACTGAGAGAGCCTGGGGAAGAGAAGGCTGCAAGGTGACATGATAACTCTTCAGTATCTGAAGGGGGAGCTGCAGGAAGGAAGGGGATAGGCTCTTAAGCAGGGTCTGTGTGGATAGAACTAGAAGAAATGGCTTAAAGCTCAGGAAGCATAGATTTAGTTTAGGCATGAGGAAAAAATCTTTTATAGTGAGGCACTGGCACAGGTTGCCCAGTGTTGTGGTGGGGGCCCCATCCCTGGAGACTTTCAGGGTGAACTTGGATAAGGCCCTGGGCAGCCTTATCTAGCTGTGATGTCCTTGTTCATTGCAGGGGTGTTGGACTGGATGGCCCTCGAATGTCCCTTCCAACTCTAAGTATTCTGTGGTTCTGTAATTGTCATTTTAACTTGTTTACTGAGAGTTGTTAATCACCTGATTGTTACATTATGAAATGCAAGAGTTTAACATCCAGCTACTTTTTCTTTGGCTTGGATTAGTTTAGCATGTCTTAGGGAGCAGAAAGTGTTGTGGAATGTTTACAGTTCATCAGTACCTGTCTTGAGCTTGTCCTGTGCGTTTTTTCTGTTTCCCTGTCTCTACAAAGGCAGTGTTGGTCTGTAAGATGCAATGTTTTCACTAAACACTTAGTGTTTTAATCACAGATTGGAAATAATTACTTCCAGAAACTTTTGTTCTGCAAGTGTGTAATTCCATCAGCGTGTCCACCAGTGACAGCAGTACAAGATGATATTTCAGGGTATAGATATTGCATGCATGTGATTATTTTTTTTTTTCAGACTGTTTTGGCAAAGACGTGGACCTTATTTTTCCCCTTCACAAATACAGATGGTTAAAATACATCATAAAAAGGTGTTGATTTCACAGATGCTGGGTGGCATTACTTTCCGTGTTCTTTCCTAATGTTTAAGGACATATGTCTTAAATGCATTGTGTGTATTAAGTAATGGAAGCACAGAGGATGGGAAACATGAGAACTGGTACTGCTTGAGTTAGTGTCTCTGCCTGATATGTTTGATGCTTGTACTCAACTGGGACGTGCTACATCTATTGCCACTTTCCCTTCTTCCATGTACAGATTAAGAGAATTTTTTTCAGTGAGAGAGATCTAGGTGGTTCTTAACAGATGGTACCTCCAGCAGGCTTCTTACCCAGAGAAAAAGAAGAAAAAAGAAGGATTAAAAACAAACAAAACACAAACAGCAGTACTCGGGCAGGAATCTAATGCTCATCTAAATAAACAATAGCAAATAAAATGCATCCACAGGGCATGTTCTCAAATTACTTCACCTCCTAATAGATAGACAAATAACAGTGGAAATATGCTAATTTACAGAGAACCACTTTGTTTTCTGAGAGCAGCATATTTTGGTGGTTTTGAAATAACACAGGTTGTGTATATAGCTTAGGACTGTCAGGGAAAGCCCTGCTTCATCTTTCTTTGTATTTAGATATTGAATAATTAAAGGTAGTTTATTTTTAAGACGCTTACCCTCTTTTTGATGAGGAGACAAATGTGAGTAACATATTTAACAGAAAAAAAAAGCACGATTAGAACGTGGGAAAAAAGGCAAAAAATGTTATTTGGTGCAGTGAGGGCACATGACTAGAGGTCATTTCAGGGCTCTAATCCAAGACAACAAACAATTTAGTGTGTGTATATTAGTGTGATGTTAATGCAGAATACACTTCTGGCTTTTTATTTGCTACATGTCAGTCCTTGAGTGGCATTTGATAACTTCTGTGAAGTATTCAGAAACCAGATAGGTATTTGTGTAAAAAGCAGAGGCTGGTTATTTTGTTGGTTATTTTTGCTCTGAAATATCTATCCCAGGCATGTTAGTGCATTCATTGAGGTAATAAAATTATTTGTAATAGTAAACCTTTCATTTCTATTCTTAATTCTTTCTTTGTGGCTTAGCCAGCCTTGTCAGTATTTAGCTGGATTTGGCCAGATTTCTTCATATGCAAAGCCTGCTTTGTAATTTAAAGGTAATTGTTATAATCTTGTAAAAATCTCATTTAAATGAAGTGCATCTTGGAACCACTTTTAATGTGTATTGATCAAGTTAGTCCTCTAGTTTGCTGTTACCTTCAGTAATTTCCTGTACTTCTTAAAGCATCAGAGTGAGGCAGCAGCAAAGAAAAGTAAATGCCATCTTGTTTATCTTCTCCTTGTATTGATTCTATAGTGAATCTTTAATTATAAATTATCTTGAATTGGCAATCCCTGTGAAGCAAGAAGTCAGGGAATCTGTGATCTGAAGAATTAATCTTTTTGAACTAAAGTGCTGTTTTTCTTCAGTACTATAGCCGAGGCTGGTAATTACTGACAAGGTTACGCTATTACTCAGCAACAAACCTAGTAGTAGTCATCTGATGTACAGAACTGTGGAGATAGCTTAAAAATTCAGTCTGGATGTGTTAAATGTATTCGTAGGTACTGTTATCTATATTCACAGATACTGTGAAGCTATCATATGACTTTTTTTTTTTTTTTATAGAAGTCTTAAGTAATGCCACTCTATCTTTTTTTTTTTTTTTTTTTTTTTTTTACCAGATAAAGAAACAAAGCATATTGAAGCCATATGGCAGCTTGAGTCAGTCACATTAAATCTTGGGAGAGAACAGCTGAACACATATATGCTGAGTTTTGGACCTCTGCCTGCGGAGCTGGCCAGTCATTCCTCGCACCAATGAGCCATGCTGTTCCCTTAAGCTTCTGATGTTTATGGCACCAAATCCTGCAATTTGGCTTCTGATGCTACTGTTGTGTTCAGATGTCTGTCGGATTTCTGCTTCATGCACCACAGTGCAGACATGGGAGTTCTGCAACTTCAGACTAAGTACTAGGCTGGAGCTTGCTCACTTGAAGGCCTTTTTCTCCTCTGATTTTCCCTTTGTACTGTTTCTGGACAGTTGAAGGGTCGTTATTCATTCTTCTCCTGCTTCTAGATGTTCTTTGAAGTTGATTGCTTTCTGTTACACATCCATATTTCAGGCTGAAGTAAATTAACTTTAAAAGCTGTTCTTAGAAGAGAGATTTCCAGTTCTTTTTTAACTCAGTAAGTGTACATAGGCACCCTTACTTCACTCTTTCCTTAGAGCATGAATTATTTATTGATTTATTTGATTGCTGCTGTTTACATGTGTCTAGATAATTATTTGGTTCTAAACCTGCTGTGATAATTCTATTTATACATCTGTGATTAAGCTTCACTTTTTCTAGCATTGTTTATACTTTTTAACAGAGCATTTTGAATCTTTCTAGAATGCTGTCAGTGCAGTTTCTGAACTGCAGGGTAAAAATCAGGAATTAAAAGATCAGGAACAGTTAAATGTTTGTTTCTCAGCTAAAGCATATGGTAGCCAAAAGTTTCAGTGCAAGATTTTTCTATGCTACGCTTACAGTAATCTTGGGATTTTCCTGACTGTAGCTTCCTGGCTGAAAATCTTACCATGTTAATGTCTTACTGGCAGGTGCTGTGCTACAGAGACACAACAATCTCTCTGTAGTACACGTTTGTCAGTAGCAAAACAAAATCCTCTTTAGCAAACCTACGGTGATTGGTTTTACTGCACATTTATTAGAATTAGGGCTGGAGCAGCAATGTTAATTTGAGATTAAGTGAGGAGGTAGAGGTAAGAGCATTACCTGTTCTGTTCTGATTCTTGAGTAGAAACAAGATAGGCTTAAGTTTTTCATATGGATGCATATTTTGGGGTTTTTTGCAAGTTAAATCTGCACACATTTTTCTCTCATACAGTAAGATTGAGAGTCGTCTTGAATGGGTTTTTTTTAGGGTATCTGACTGGGGGGAAGAAAAAGTGACATTTCTGTTTTCTGCAATAGCTGTGATGTGGGAATTGTGTAAATAATATTTGGAAGAAATGATATAGACAATAATTGATTTCTCTGTGCCTGAGCATTCATTGGCATATATTTGCTGTGATATCGACCTTATCTTTTTATGTTACAAGTGATGCTGACTTGTAGCAGAAAGTTGTTGTGTTAAAAAGACACCAAATTGTGTTTTAGGAGTAGTTGTGGGGGAAGGCAGAGAGCAAAGTATTTATTTCTAAAACAAATAGGAAAAAAATGTAACACGGAAATCTGAACATAGGTTATTTGTGATGCTTATTTTACACTGTTTAGTGATCACCAGAATACTATTTCTACTGTTAAAAATAGGTTAGATTGAATAAAGTATTTTTGTTGGATTAACTGTGAATAAGGTGATGGTTTTTGGGAGGGAGAGACTTCCTGAGGCCCTATAAACATGCTGTTGAACAGTCAGGATACTGCTCTTTCAGTGTAAAATGAACTGTTCCCACATCTGCAGTGCCTGCTCTGTGGTCATGCCCTGGGTAGTAGCTGTTAGACAAAAGTTCTCCAAAACTGTGTTTTCGGACACTATTGTCAATGGAAAAAATGTGCAGCTGAATACGGGAGAAACTACCATGGGTGTGGTAATGGCTGACCTGAAAAGAGGGAATCTAAGGGATCAAATGGACTAAAATGAGAAATGGAGTGGAAAGATGCTTGTTTTTTGTACGGTAATAATCAGGAATGTTTTGAACGCATTATCAGGAAAATATTTTGCGTGTCTGTTACTAAAAACCACTTGAAATTATTTTAGAAGGCAGATGTCAGTAATTGCTTTGTTAGGAGGCCCCGCAGCTCGTAAGGCAGCTGAACAGACAAGTATTGGTGCTGACTTCTGGCTGATACAGACTCTCATTTCTACAATCCTCTCTCAGCCTGTCGTATTGTGTAAAGGCTCCATTTCTGAACGAGCTCTGTTTTATTCTAGGAGAACAGCATTGTGTCTAAAATGGAAGTCGACATCAACGGAGAGTCCAGAAGTGCCATATCCACGCTCCCAGTGCCCCTGGCAGAGGTGGGCGCTGCAGGCCGAACGGAAGCTGAGAAGCCACGGTGCTCCAGTACCCCCTGCTCACCCATGCGACGGACGGTTTCGGGGTATCAGATCCTCCACATGGATTCTAACTACCTGGTTGGCTTCACGACCGGAGAGGAGCTGCTAAAACTCGCCCAGAAGTGTACAGGAAATGAAGAGAGTAAAGGGGAATCTGGGCCTAACTTGCGCTCCAAACAGCTCGATTCAGGACTTGCCCGCTCCTCCCGTTTGTACAAAGCTAGAAGTAGGTATTATCAGCCATATGAGATTCCAGCAGTGAATGGAAGGAGGAGGAGACGGATGCCCAGCTCAGGGGATAAATGCACTAAGGCTTTACCGTATGAACCCTACAAGGCACTTCATGGTCCCCTGCCTCTTTGCCTTTTAAAAGGTAAAAGGGCTCACTCAAAATCTCTGGACTACCTCAATTTAGACAAAATGAGTATTAAGGAACCTGCTGACACAGAAGTGCTACAATACCAGCTCCAACACCTTACTCTTAGAGGGGACCGTATGTTTGCGAGAAATAACACATGAGCTATCTTAAATGTAGAGCCAATTTCTGATTGTTTATCTGTTGCTGCAAAAATCCACTATTGTACTGTGTACATGACTGTCCACACTGTAGGTGGTTGTATCAGCTAAATGTTATCAGAAATTTTATTTGAATGAAATCTAAACAATGCAATGTGTTAGAAATACTTGGGAGGAAAAATCTTTCCCGAAAAAGCAGCTTCTAATGCAAACTTGACTGCAACTAGGGGATATTTCTTTGGACATCTTTTAACAGCAAAAATTCTGAAATCTTAAAAAAAAGCTTTTGTTTTTTTGGGTTTGAGATTTTTTTTTGTACAGTTAGATTTAGTATCTACAGTAATTTAACACTGAAAAATCGGTGATGTCTGCTTGGTTGTTGCTAATTTTGGCTTGATGTTAGAAACTGCTCTTGGATAAGCACTCAAATTTGGGGGTCTTTTGTCTTTGGTTTTTGTTCCTGCATTCTACAGTAGAATATATGTATGAGTTTAGTTTAGGTTTTGTTTATTTTTTTTTTACGTAATTGAAACAAATGTGAGCTTGGCTGAACTCTATTGTTTGATATTTAAGCAGTCTAGAAATTGGTGTCACACTGCTGATGAAGGGGAAATTCACTCATAAATGCAGGGGTAAATATGGAAGTTGGAACTGATAGATCTTTGGATTCCTTCCTATTCCTGCCGTTTTATGAAAATAAACTTTAGTTCATTTGCTACTTTAATCACACTAAATTTTTTTGAATCTGCATGAAACTAACTGCTTTGCCTCCTCTGTTCTACAGAATTTTTCAGGATGCATATTTGAATACTATAAAAATCTTTTGGGGAATCAAGGTTTTTTGTTAATGGGATTTTTTTTTAAACCTAAGCAAGGATTCACTTTAGATTCCAAGAAATACACCAGAATGTCTGCATTGGTATGTCAGTGTTCTAATTCATTATATCTGTAACATATATATTAATAGAAGATATCAAATAACTTTATCATTGCTTTGGAAATCTAGTTGATTTGAAGAACTGAACTCTTCTACAGGGATTTGTAAGAGAGATTTTTTTCTGATGGAGTGCAAGTGAAGTATTCCTCTGTTAGCCTTGAAGAGATGATCCTGGATTATTGAGGGTAGACTGAATACACTGGCTTACTTGGTTGCTTAAGAAATTTTTATCCAAACGTGACATCAAAAGCAGTTTTGACAGCTGTATTCTTAGATGTATTTAAAACGCTTTAGTAACTTATGTTGGAAAATGAAAAATAGTTATTAGACTTTTTTTAGGTGCAATCTCTTACTTGAATCAGTGTGTGACTTGGTTTTAGTTGATTACCTCTGTAGAAGTTGAGATAACATTGTTTTGAAACATAGCTTATTTGATCAGTTGTTTCTGGTACAATGCAATATTTTATTTTTTTTTTTTTAACTTTCCTTTGTTCAGAGTGAATAAGAAGCACTGGTTGGCTCGTGCTGTGGAAGGTGGAGAGTTCATATTAATCCAACAGTTACTCCACAGCTGTAAATGAAGGCAGCCTGGCTGTCTGCGTTTTACTGGCCTGGGTTTTCTTTTCTGGGTTTGTTAACTGATGTGTATGTTTAGGTTAACTACACCTCTGTAAATCTAATGTATTGAACAATTATCTGGAAAGTAAAATCTTCCTATATAGTCTTTTGTTTGAAAAATATTATGGTCAGATGCCAAAGAAGTTGGGGATATTGCTTAAGGAATAAACACCACTATTTATTGAAATACCATATGAAACTGTATTTCTGGCTGAAAAAAATAAAAAGGATGCTAAATATCTGTTGTTGTGGAGTCTTTTGCTATGAGGACATTTAGGAAAAGTACAACTGGGGCCAAGAAATCATTTGAAAACATAACTCTAAATCAAGAATCTTGGATTTATGTGGCATTAATGCTTAGGACTATGTTATGTCAGAAAATAGGACATGCAATTATGTAAGTTTTGTGTGTGTTTCTTAATGTGGACCAGTGCTACATTCATAGAAAGGCTGAAGGCTGGTCTGTTTCGCCAAGTTCAAATGTGAAAAATGTGTTAGAGGTTTTTCTGTTTTCTCTTACTTGCCACAGTGCTTGCACAAGATAATATCATTTGCAGATCTCACAAACTATTACTACTTAAGATACTGAAGTTTTGGTTTGTAAAGTTCTCAATCAGAACTGCTAAATCCTTAAGGAGTGCCTGTTTTCTGCATTTTAAAGAGGAACAGTCTCTGTCAAATGAAGAGTTTTGATTTTATTCTTGCTGTTCATATTATCTTCCATTAATTTATTAAAATCTAAGATGAGATGAGTCTTCTGGCTGCTAATATGAGCAATATGAATGACTTTTCAAAGTGAGATTTGTCAGGAACGAAGCTCTCACTATTTTTATAATAAATAAAAGAGTCATTGTTTTGTTCTTTTTTGTTGTTGGCATAATGTACCTTCTAGGGGATCAGATAGCTGAAGGTAGGAATTATACAAGATACTAACACAAATTTTCCATAGATAATCAATACCACAGTAGACCTGGTATCAAGTACATAGTTTCAAGGTGGGATATTGAGGCAGATCTTAAATCAAGGCATGTGGTTGTTCTTACTTTTTTAATATACTAGGAAATTAGTTTTTTTTCCAGTGCTTTCTCTCTTTTCGTGTGTGTGTGTATATATATATATATATATGTGCATATATATATACACACATATATATATATGTGTGTGTGTGTGTGTGTAGATAATGCTGTCCTGCTTTATTATGGTCACAGTGTTAATTTGCTTTGTTCATCCACTGCACTCTGATTTAAAATCAAGTCTTCTGGGAGGTTATGTCCTTACTGAGCACATTTACTGTGGTGGGATTGTTAACTGCAGGTGAGGGCTATCAAATAATATGACAAAACAGGTAACTGGCTTTTAGAGCTGTTAAAACTGTTCTCCTGGAGAGAGTATTTCTTCTTGGGAGAACAGAGATACAAGATTTTAAACTGCTCAGAATGCAGAAGTTGTCTGGGTGAGATATAGCTGATGAGTTGCTGTTACTTTATGGATCAAATATGTATTTGGAGTAGAAGGACAGGAGGTATGACCTACAACTTTGACTAAACAAAGAATTATTAGTGCATATTGTCATTTTTTCCAATTCTTTCAGAGGAGCCAAAGAATCCTTAAAGGAAATTTTTCAACATAATGAAATACTGACAGTTCTGATGGTTGGGAGATTGGTCAAGTTTAAGTCAGTTATTAATGTTACACTTCATTTTAAAGAGAGATGTTTGCCTACAAAAAAAGAATAGCAGAAATGATCTCTGAACATGTAAGGAAAAAAAAAAAAGCAGAAAAATTTACTTAGGAGGAAGAATGAACTTTAAATGGCACTGCAGCACTACAGTAGAGAAATGCAACTAGGTAATAACGTTCAGCTGTAGGAAAAATGCAGAACGAAAATTGAAAGAAATACAAAGTTATTAACCCTGCTAGTAACTTTAAAGATGCACTGAACCTTTACCAACAGTAAAAGTACCAAAAGCAAAAGTAAATTATTTTGCCTGCCCTTTTCCCCTCTCCCCTTGTTATTCTGCACTGAGGGAAAATCCAGCTGTATCTTCATGACTAAAACATGGAAAGCTTCAATTTTGGGAAGGAACAGGGAAGTCCTCATTGTCTGCAGTAGTTGTTTCTGGTCTTATCTGGGCATATGATACTTTAGGAATTTTTCTGTGAGCTGCTTTTGTAGGCATCTGACTCTAATCATGGGAGTAGCATGAGGGAGCACAAGTTGAGTTTAGAGATGTAGGTAACTTACCTACAAAGCATAACAGATTCATGTCTTGTGTTTCTGGAGTCATTATCAGACAGTCCCTTGCATCAGAGCGATAATTTCAGTCAGTCAACAGCCACCTCATCCAGTCTAAGGGCCAGTTGATCAGTCTCAATAACACCGTTCCCTCTGAAGTTGTCTTTGGTTGTTGGATTTGTCTGCTTCAGAATAGAGCTAGCTAAGATTCAGTGCTGCTCCGATATTGAAAGTGTTAATTGTAATTCTGGGCATTTTTGTGGTATGGCTCAAGGGTGGAACATGAAGCTGATGTTTCAAAAAGCAGTCAGTTTGCCTTACATTCTCCTTAACTTGCTAGCTTGCTACTTAGACCCTAGTGGTTTGGTGCTAGAGAGTGGCATCGATGGAGGTAGGCCATATAGATCACATTAGAAGATACTATAAAGGACAACTGGACAAAAATTCAGAATCAGATGGCACAAAAAATAAAAGGAAAGCTAAGGGTATTAATTGATCCCTTTCCAGACTTTCTTAGGAGATAGCTGTCTGAATTTATAAATGCTGTCTTAATGAAGCGTTACTCTGGACTAAGAATGTGGAGGAAAAAGGATGAGAGCTTTGTGCTGTGATTTTATTTCTGTAAAGTATAGAAGGGCAGAAAGAATTCAGCAGAACTTATGAGGGGTAAGGCTGAAGAATAAAACATTCAAAACCCTTTGGGGCAGTTCTGCAAGAAGAGAAGAGTGAAATTGTATGGTTTCAGTGTCAAAACAAGCAAAGGCGGGGGGTGGGGGAGAGTTTGGATTGTGCTGATCTCAAATCTGTCCAGAAGGCACTTTTGGTTATCTCAGGAGGACTGAGGAGGTGTGGGACATTTTAGCAAAATGCTCTTGGCTGGAGATGTGCTGCAGCAAAGATTGAAAGAAGGAGCTTGAGGCTATGCATGCAGACTTTCATACTGATAAGCTCAGATGAAATTTTTGAGGAATGTTCTGGGGGAATAAAATTATAAGCTGAATAATTTATGCCATTCAAATATGATCTGAATTCAGATCCCACAGTGCAGCTGTACGCTGTGACAGCAGGCAGTTGGTGCAACTTCACAGTGCTCTTTGACAAAGTAAAGCATAAGAAACAAGAACAAAACCTTTTATCTGTAAATTTTCTTTACTGTTATTTTCTGTTTTTAAAAAAAAAAAAAAAAAAAAAAAGAAAGAAAAAGAAAAAAAAAGAAAAGAAAAGCTTCTTTTGTATGCCATTGTAAATACCAGTGATGATGTCTGGTGAGATTATTGCCCCATTTCATTTTTTGCTAGACTTGTGCCTGCTTGAGCTCCCGATGACCTGTTATTTCTGTGAAGGAGACCTTAGTGCTAAAATATGCAAGAACTTTCAGAACAGAAGAGCTCTGGAAAACTTGAGCAAGGCTTGATTCTCTGTAGTGTTTTACATTAACCTATTTTTCAGAACCCCCCCCCAAAAAAGTTGAAGAAAAGTGCTAAGTACTGAGATACTTTTAGAATTCTATTTCAGGCTGGAAATGTTGCAGTGTAGAGATTTGCTCTGTGAAACAGACTTCAAATGAATAAACAGAGGGAAAGGAAATGTCATAGTGCACTAGAATATTTAGTGGCAGAGCACCAAGTTTTTAAGCTAGATGGCTGAAATTGAGCATGGAGAATAAAGCAGTAAATGTAAGATTGATTTTTTTTTTTTTTTTTTTTGGCATTTTTCCCTTGTTTAATGTGGGTATTTTTTTTTTTTTTTTTTTTTTCCCCACATGTTATGGAGAGTCGAAAGATATCCAGAATGGCTGCAACTCCAAGCAAGTGGCTGCATGCAAGATTTCTACCTGTCTATCCATATTATTCTATGGAATTTAATTATCTTAATTTTTCTCAGCATTCCAATGTTCAATTGTTATTATGTCAGAATTACTTTTGGTAAAAAGATGATGGAAGAAGTGTTCGGTATTTGAAATGTTGTTGTTGGTATCAGTCAAAATGATGTAAAAAGCTTTACCCTAGAGAACAAGTGGCACAAAATGATCCATAAAGACCACTCTGATCTATGAGTTCTGAGAGATGCAGTCAAGTTTTACAGTTGATATAGTGCTTCATAAAACCGAATTTTCACATTTCAGAAGGGTTTTAGAACTCTGGATTACTCACTTCTCATCAACTAGATCAATTCCCGTGTACTCGCATCTCATGGTAGTATGGCATTTCAGCAGCCTCTGGTACCTGGGGCATCTCGGTAATCTTAAGTCTGAATTAAAAATAGTCCTCTTTAAGACATCTTCAAAGGCTAAGTGGCTGGCTGTGGCAGAAAAGGAGCATAAAAGTGAGGAATCTTCATGGTTTTTTATGGGATTTATGATAACTGCTCAGGGGCATGAATTTTAGGATGCTTTATCTTGGAAAAAGCTTTGCAGAATCAAACGTAGTGGGATGGAAAAGAAATACAAATGCCGAAATTTCTTCCCTCTCATACTGATTTTACAAATTTAACCAAATCCTCTTGTTTCAGCCTGAGCTTCTAGAGAATGCCTAAGTCTTGTGAGAAGTAGTGTTGATAGTGAAGTGAGCAGCTGATAGCAGTAAGATCAGGTACACCCATGAATGGTGATGCTGGGACCTCAAGTGCAAGTTAGAGGAAAATGGAGTTCTCTGATGTTAATGCTGTGTTTTTCAAGATGACATTTGTATTTAAGTTTGAAACTGAGCAAAAATCTGAACATTCAAACAATTTAAAAAGGATTTACTCTCGATATTTGAGTATTTTTATCTTCCTCCCAGCTTTAGAAGTGCAGCTCTTTTCTGTCATCTTACATCTAGATATGTTTTAGATAAAAGAAATCTTCTGTTCTTATTCTAGAAATATAATGTACGCTTTATCACGTACCAGCTGCAGAGTAACACAAGGTTTTAAATAAAATTACGGGACTTGACATTTAGCTGTTTCTGCTTCTTTCTGATACTACTCTCTGATAGTCTTCATTTGGTTTGGTACTGCCTGTAT